AGTGATACCAAACTCACAAGGAAACTTTACCTGGGCAGACCCCCTCAGCCAGATAGTAGAAGCAAGGCAAGTATCCCCCATGCTTGCAGACCCCCTCAAGTCACCAAAGGCAAGATCTGAAGAGCAGAAAGACAGACCTTCCCAGAGTTTTGACAGGGGCTCCCTAAAGTAACCCTACAGCAGCTTGGCAGAGAACCCTGGCAAGCACTGGAATCCAGTGAGGCATGCACACAACACTCCCAAGCTCCCTCAGACCCAAATGCATAGATCCTCTGGTCACAGCCCACCCCTAGGTGAAATTTCTGGTTATTTACCAGAACCTATTGTACAGATAAGAGATCACCTGTTGTGAACTGTAAAAATGCAGTGGAAAGGGGTAGTCAAACAGGGGCTTGCTTGTACAGGCAGGTGTTTGTTGTGGTAGATCTTTGCTGAGGTGGATGTTGTTTCATGAGGTAGGTGTTGTGTTATGAGGTAGAGGTTGTTTCATGAAGTAAGTGTTTGGTGTGGGAATTTTTTTTGAAGGGTAAAAGTAGAGGGGAGTATCCATGGGTTTTCTCGGTGTGGGAATTTCAGTGAGAAAGGGTTGGATGTGGGCCAACCCAGCCTCACCCACCCCAAGACAAGCACCCTTTGCACCAACTTGCACCCTCATGACACACACAGGTGTTTACAATCAGGTGGGGTGCAAGGGTATAAATGTGGGTCCTCAGCAGAGGCACTCAGTTGCTAAGCCCCTCTGATTGGCATGAGCAATGGGGTGGCTCAGAGCTCTGTGTCCACCTAACACCCAAACCCCACTAGGGGACAGGTGTTTACAGTCAGGAGGGGTGGGAGGTTATAAAATGTGGGTTCTCAGCCAAGGCACCCAGTAGCTAAGCCCCTCTGCTTGGCATGAGCAGAGAGATGGGGTGGCTCAGAGTCCTGAGTCTCCTAACACCCAAAATCCACCTGGGGAGAGGTGTTCACAATCAGGAGGGGTGGGAGGGTCCTCAGCTGAGGCACCCAGTAGATAAGCTCCTCCACTCAGTGTGAGTAGAGAGATGGGGTGGCTCAGAGCCCTGAGTCCACTTCACCCAAACCCCACCAGGGGAGAGGAGTTCACAATCAGGAATAAATGAATGTGCTCTGCTTTTAACAAGTTCCCTGACTCTCTAACTGCCAACACCCAACAGAGGAGAGGGTGCGAAGCTGAGCTGATCCCATATAGCAGAATAGGAACTATGTTATTGTCAACCAGCAGGTGCCTGTTAAGCTTTGGAGGGCCCCTAGTTAAAATGTGGGTTCTCAGCCAAGGCACCCAGTAGCTAAGCCCCTCTGCTTGGCATGAGCAGAGAGATGGGGTGGCTCAGAGTCCTGAGTCTCCTAACACCCAAAATCCACCTGGGGAGAGGTGTTCACAATCAGGAGGGGTGGGAGGGTCCTCAGCTGAGGCACCCAGTAGATAAGCTCCTCTGCTCAGTGTGAGTAGAGAGATGGGGTGGCTCAGAGCCCTGAGTCCACTTCACCCAAACCCCACCAGGGGAGAGGAGTTCACAATCAGGAATAAATGAATGTGCTCTGCTTTTAACAAGTTTCCTGACTCTCTTTCTAACTGCCAACACCCAACAGAGGAGAGGGTGCGGAGCTGAGCTGAGGGTATATACAATGATCCCATATAGCAGAATAGGAACTATGTTATTGTCAACCAGCAGGTGCCTGTTAAGCTTTGGAGGGCCCCTAGTGGTGTTTCCAGGGCTGGAGATTTCTGCCCCCCCTCCCGCTTTGAAGTTTGGAAAACATTTTGATTGAGTGGATACAGTCTGTCTGGAAATGCATCCATTCATGAACCACCATGAACCGCTTGAAAGTTCGTGGAATGTTTGTGCTAGTTGACCTGCAATGAACATCAGTTTACGAACCACGAACCACCCAAAATTCATCACAAACTTTAGTTGGTGAGCCGGTTCATGCCCATCCCTAGTGGTGGCCAGAAATGGCCTTCTATGTATGGCACCTTAGTTGTACAATGCCTTTCACACAGCAGTTTTCTTGGTATTCTGTTGGCATTTGTGCTTTGTTTGGAAGTCTGTCACTGAAATTGTGCCTATTAATTTCTCCTGTTGAAATTGTTTACTGTGCCTCTCATGCTCCATGGGTTGGGGGGCTGCAGTGAGGAGAGACAAAAGGGTATAATTACTCCTCCTTCTGCGAGTGCAGCTCCATTCAGTGAAAGAAAGAATTTTAACCCCTTATACCCCTCCTCATTCTAACCCTTGATCCATATGGTTATTCCTCTGCCTCCCTGAAAATGTAACCCTGGGAATGATCTTTCTAATTATCAAAAAGGGCTGCAGGAACAGAAATGAGCATGGGAAAATTCTGTGCTCCTTCTATGCATGTATAGTTGGATATAGGTCAATTTAAAGTTTTACTTGATTTTATTATTATAAGCTGCTTCAGGCTTTCTTTTGCAGAATGCATCTCATAAATAACCTTAATTATTACCATAATTAAAATAGCCCTTCTAGTTAATCTGGTCCTCTCTGTCCAAATCCAACCTACTGGTTCCTGTCCTATAGTGGCCATATAAATGTTTAAACCTTTTGGCCCCAGTCGCAAATAGTGACCTACAGCTAATTATGGCTTTGAATGGGGATGTCTCCCTGCACCCTTACTGAAAGAGCCAGTTCAAGTGGGTCTGGGGGTACATTGCGATGCAGATGAGAATGTACATCCAGATGAATACCTGCATCTGAATTGGCATGTGGTACTTCGTTTTTGCAAGCAGATCTCCTGTGCTGGATTATTTGAACATCATGCAGATTTATTTGAACATTGGTGTGTGTGTATTTTAAATTGTATGTCCTGAGCCGGATTGACCAGGCTAGCCCAATCTTGTCAGATCGCAAGAGTTAAGCAAGGTCAGTCCTGGTTAGTGTTAGGATGGGAGACCACCAAGGAAGTCCAGGGTTGCTTGCTACACAGAATAGGGTTGCCAAGTCAAAATATCTCCTTACCGGGGGACTCCCGTGCCGTGGCTGGAGCGTGCGCTGGGGCGGGGGCCACAACCATTGAGTTTTCCCTCGGGTGACCGTGGCCCCGCCCCCAGCATGCCCGGCGTGGTCGCGTCACTTCCGGGTGATGCGCACGTCGGGGTGGGGTTTCCCCCGGGGCCTGATCTGCCAGCAGTGGGGAACGGGCCTCTGGGGCGGGGCTTTCCCCGCCCCCCGGGGGGACTTGGGAAGCCTAACACAGAAGTAGACAATGACAAACCACCTCTGCTCATCTTTCACCTTGAAAACCGTATGGGGTCACCATAAGTTAGCTGTGACTTGATGGCAGTTTCCATCACCATATTTGATTGTATAACTATGGGATTAGCTGGTCACTTTGGGTATGAGGAGGAAGATCTCTGGACTGGCTCTAATTGGCCCTTAGTCTTTTTTTTCCTTTTTGCCTGCTTCATACAATATTAGGGAGCTTATGCAAATTTCAATAGACCTGGTTAGCGTAGACTGGTAAGGTCCAAATTGAGGGGGGTGGTAAGTAGGCAACAGTAGCACTGGCCAGGTTTGGGACCCTGATGGACTCACCTCAGCTTTTGGTAGGCCATTTGCTGGTGGCAAAACTTACACCAGAGTTGGAGTCATTTATGTGAAAATAAATAAATTAATTAAAACGTACATATTTTGAAATATATTTACAAACACAAAGAAGGCCGCAGTGGGAAGAGGGAGGTAGAGAAGGTGCCTTTCTCAAGGGTGAGTCTGTTTGTGCAGCCTAGAATCCAAACCAAGAGTTTAAATTCATTTGAGTTATGCCCGACCTTAAAAATTCTAGCACCAAATCAGTTTTCAGCAATGTTGGCATAAGACTGGATGGGATAAACATTTTTAATTTATATTAAATATATTGGTTAACATAAATACAGAAATATATTTGGGGGTCTTGCAGCAAGGATTACTTTGGGAGGGAGAATTTAGTGAACTTGGTCCTACAGCAAGTCCAAGACATATTTTTTTAAAATAAGATTTTTTTGGCATGTTGCAAAAGAGCACCTAAGTGTGGGCTGAACCCATTTTAGTAGGTTGGGTTCCATATAGATAACTGCTTTGAAGTCACTACAGTTTTGTGGTGGGTGCACAAATCCATTTCGGAAGTTTGAAGGTAGATCTTTCCAGTGACATGTTGGTTGAGGAGACAGTCAGAAATATGGCACAAATAGAAGAATTATACTGTTAGATATCTTATTTCAACATTTGTCTCCCCCTGCCGAACTGCATTGTAAAATGAGACAGCTTTGTAGACCATTGTAGTAGGCAAGCTGGTAATCAATCAGCAAGACTTTGTACAATTATACATAAATATATGTATGTTTGCATACCTAATTTAGACAAAGGTTTTTACCCTGTCTCTTTCCTAGTAAAATAGTCTACAATTGATATGCCATTACGTTTCTAGGCCTGGTAGCTTCTGTCACGTCACGGTGTTAAGATTCACAGTGTCTGAGGCAACCAAACCAAAAAGTTTCAGAAGAGTAATGTTTTAAAGAGTAATGCATATTCAATAACTGGATTTTGTCATTTCCTTTCCATTTCTTTTAGCTAAAAAATCATCAAAGTCATTATCAAAGACGTCAAAAACCAAAGCGATAAAAGTGATTTCTGAGGAGGATGGCAGTGGGGTAGACAATGCTGTGACAACGGCAGTTACCACAACCATATCCAGTCAGCCTTCTACCACGTCTACAGTGAATCAGACTTCCACCGCAAGCACAACACGCCTTCCATCTACTACGATCACAACAAAGCCACCTCCTACTACAACCACAACTAAATTCCCTTCTACTATGACAACGGCAAGACCATCTACTACTGCAACCACAGTGAGGCCGCCTACCACAACGGCCTCAATGGCAGCACCTACTACTATGACTACGAAGGCACCTACTACCATAACCACAACAATGACACCTACTACTATGACTACGAAGGCGCCTACTACCGTAACCACAACAATGACACCTACTACTATGACCACAACGACGATGCCTACGACAACGACTACTCAGCCTTCGACAAGTACAAAGCAACCTAACACAGAGCATACAACCAAAGGAAATAAAGGTACTGCAACAACTCCTTTATCTGAAGATCGTGTTAGTCAGATCCCTCCTTCCCAGTCTGAAAAAGTGACCCCATCCTTCACAGTCACTACTACAAAACCATTAAGGCCAAACAGTAATCCATCTCCTAGCACCATTTCAAGCATTTTGACATTGTCTACTATAGCTAGTGTCACTGTGGGCCAAGATACAAGCACTGCTGATATGAAAGCCATAACTTCTGCATCTAAAGGCACAACAACAATAGCCAAAAGAGACACTACTACGGTAGCTATGGAAGCAATATCAACCATTGCTAAGGACACAACCAGTGCAGACAGCCAGATTTCAACAACAGAGAAGAATGATGCAACACCTGAAAATGATAAAACAACTACTACAAATAAAGAGAGTGCTGCAACAAATAATAAAGGTACAGTTAGTAATACCGAGACTACAATAGCAACAGCAGACATTACATCAGCAGAGACTTTAATAACCCATAAATCAGATACAATGACTCCAAGTACTGTCTCCTCATTGACTGAAACAACTGCAGATAATAAAGACACAAGGACAACAGGCAATGCAGACAGTGCTGCTGGAGCAGATAATAAAGACACAAGGACAACAGGAAATGCAGACAGTATGACAACAGATAAAGCAAGTGGAAGTGAAACAGCAGCAGGGACTCAAACAGTAGCAACTTCAAGTACAAATGCCCTAACATTAGCCAGTGAAGAGACTGCTGTTACAGATGTAAAAGTGAAAACTACTACTGATCAAGAAACAACAGCCACAGAGAGAACAGAACCTATGACTATTCGTGAGGAGCTGACAACAGGCGGTAGTACTATGGAAGCCAAAGACACAACCACTGCTGACAAAGAAACAGCTCCTATAAGTTCCACAGACACAACTATGGCTGCAGAAAAAGAAACCACTGCAGGTGATCAAGGGATGACCACAGCTGGTGAAAATGAGGCATCTATTCCTGTAAAAAAGACAACTCCTTCCACTCCTTTCACAAGTTCACCTCAGCCTGTAAGTGATTACGGAAGTGTCAGGACAGAAAGAAGTATTACAGTCACAGAGACAGCCACAACACAGACTGATCCAGCAAGTGACACAGCTAAACCAGGTACCGGCAATATAAATGGCACACCAGAAAGTAGTACTGGGATCACAGAGACAACAGTAGCACAAACAGATGCCACAAGTGATAGAGATGATGGAACTGATGATAAAAATGACATGACAGGAAGCAGTACAACAGTCTCAGGGACAACTATAACACAGGCTGATGCAGTAAACCCCACACCCGTTCTTGGTGGTGATAATATAAATGACAGATCAGATGGGACAACTACAGCCATGCAGACAGTAACACAGACAGATCAAACAAGTGGCACCGTAAATCCTGATGGTAACAATGACAAACCAGGCAGTGGCACTACAGTTACTGAGATAACAAAAACACAGACTGTTCCAGGAGAAATAACAAGTCCTGATGGTAATGATAAAAGCAACAAGCCAGATAGGACTACGACTCCCAAAGAGACAACAACAACACAAACAGATTCAGCAAATGGCAAACCCCGTCCTATAGTGGATGACAAAAATATCAAACCAGAAGGGACTACTACAGATAGAGAGACAATACTCATGACTGATCCCCCAAATAATTCAGCTACTCCTGATAATAATGGTAAAAATGATAAACCAGAATCTAGCACTAACGTGCCCGAGGCAATAACACAAACTGACTCCAGAAGTGGCACACCCAACCCTAATGATAAACCAGAAGGAACCACTCCAGACAGAGAATCAATAACAGCACAGAGGGCTCCCTCAAGTAGCCAGCGGAGCCCTGATGGTGATGATAAAAGCGACAAACCAGAAGGGACTACTACAATCACAGAGTCATTAACACCAAACCCAGAAGGGGCGACTACAGCCAGAGAGACCACAATTACACAAACTGGTCTGGTAAATGGTACACCGAGCCCTGCTGGTGATACTAAAAATGATAAACCAGAAGGAACCAAACCAGGCAGAGAGACAGTAACTACACAGACTGATCCCTCAAGTGGCCAATCCAGCCCTACTGGCAGTGATAAAAATGACCAACCAGTAGGTACTTCTACAGTCAGAGACACAATAACACCAGAAGCAGAAGGGACTACTACAGTCAGAGAGACCACAATATCACAGACTGAGCCCGTAAATGGCACACCCATCCCTGCTGGCGATGATAAAAATGACAAACCAGAAGGGACTACTACAGTAAGAGAGACAATAACAACACAGACTGATCCCTCAAGTGGCCAATCCAGCCCTACTGATGATGATAAAAATGACCGACCCAAAGGTACTACTACAGTCAGTGAAGCAAGAACACCAGAACCAGAAGGGACTACTACAGTCAGAGAGACCACAGTAACACAGACTGAGCCCGTAAATGGCACACCCATCCCTCCTGGTGATGATAAAAATGATAAGCCAGAAGGAACCAGACCAGTGAGCGAGACAATAACAACACAGACTGATCCCTCAAGTGGCCAACCCAGCCCTACTGGTGATAACAAGAATGATAGACCAGAAGGAACCACTACTGTCAGAGGGACAATAACAACACAATCTGATCCTGTAAATGGCATACCCACTCCTGATAATAAACCAGAAGGAACCACTCCAGTCAGAGACACAATAATACCACAGACTGATCCCTCAAGTGGCCAACCCAACCCTACTGGTGATAACAAGAATGATAGACCAGAAGGGACCACTACAGTGAGAGGGACAATAACAACAGAATCTGATCCTGTAAATGGCATACCCACTCCTGATAATAAACCAGAAGGAACCACTCCAGTTGGGGACACAATAATACCACAGACTGATCCCTCAAGTGGCCAACCCAACCCTACTGGCGATAACAAGAATGATAGACCAGAAGGAACTACTCCTGTCAGAGGGACAATAACAACACAATCTGATCCTGTAAATGGCATACCCACTTCTGATAATAAACCAGAAGGAAACACTCCAGTCGGAGACACAATAATACCACAGACTGATCCCTCAAGTGGCCAACCCAACCCTACTGGTGATAACAAGAATGATAGACCAGAAGGAACTACTCCTGTCAGAGGGACAATAACAACACAATCTGATCCTGTAGATGGCATACCCACTCCTGATAATAAACCTGAAGGAACCACTCCAGTCAGAGACACAATAATACCACAGACTGATCCCTCAAGAGACCAACCCAACCCTACTGGTAATGATAAAAATGACAAACCAGAAGGAACCACTCCTGTCAGAGGGTCAATAACAACACAATCTGATCCTGTAGATGGCATACCCACTCCTGATAATAAACCAGAAGGAACCACTCCAATCAGAGACACAATAATACCACAGACTGATCCCTCAAGCGATCAACCCAACCCTACTGGTGATGATAAAAATGACCAACCAGAAGGCACTACTACAGTCAGAGAAGCAATAACACCAGAACCAGAAGGGATTACTACAGTCAGAGAAACAATTACAACACAGACAGATCCCTCAAGTCACCAACCCAGCCCTACTGTTAATGATAAAAATGATAAACCCGAAGGAACCAGACCAGGTAGAGAGACGGTAACAAAGACTGATCCCTCAAGTGGTCAACCCAGCCCTACAGGTGATAATAAAAATGGTAGACCAGAAGAAACTGCTCCAGTCAGAGAGACAACAGTAACACAGACAGATCCCTTAAGTGGTCAACCAAGGCCTACTGATGATGATAAAAACGATAGACCAGAAGGAACTAGACCATTCAGAGAGACAGTAACAACACAGACTGATCCCTCAAGTGGCCAACCCAGGCCTACTGGTGATAATAAAAATGATAGACCAGAAGGAACTGCTCCAGTCAGAGAGACAACAGTAACACAGACTGATCCCTCAAGTGGTCAACCAAGACCTACTGATGATGATAAAAATGATAGACCAGAAGGAGCCAGTCCAGTCAGAGATACAACAGTAACACAGACCAGTCCCTCAAGTGGTCAACCAAGGCCTACTGGTGGTGATAAAAATGATAGACCAGAAGGAACTAGACCTTCCAGAGAGACAGTAACAACACAGACTGATCCCTCAAGTGGCCAACCCAGCCCTACTGAAGATGATAAAAATGACAAACCAGAAAGGACTACTACAGTCAGAGAGACAATAATAACACAGAGTGACCCAGTAAATAGCACTCCCACCCCTGATAGTAATGATAAAAATGGTAGACCAGAAGGAATTACTCCAGTCAGAGAATCAATAATAGCACAGAATGATCCCTCAAGTGGCCAACCCAGCCCTACTGGTGATGATAAAAATGGCAAACCAGAAAGGACTACTACAGTCATAGAGACAATAACAACACAGACTGATCCAAACAGTCCTAATGGTGGTGATGAAGGGAGACCTTTATCAAAGAATCCTGAGATCCCAGAAGGACCAACACAATCTAAACCATCAAATGATGAACCTAGTTTCAATGGTGATAGTACAGTTGACACACCAGGTGTCACTTCCAAAGTAACAGAGACGACAACAACAATTACACAGTCTAAGTCGCCAAATGATACACCAAAACCTGATAAGCCAGACCGCACAACTGAAGTCACAAAAACTACTACCACCATCAAAACAGAACCTGATTCATTGAGCAATTCCCCTAATCCTGATGAAAGTGGCAGGCCAGGCAGCATCACTAAGGTCACAAAAACCTCCACAACTGTCACAACGGAATCAAATCCTAGCTCACGTAACCCTAATGAAAACGATAAAAAGGTCAAGTCAGAAGTCACCACTAATATGACACGGATAACAACAACTACTACCACATCTACAAGCACCAACCCATCAAATAGACCTGAATATCCAGTTACAACCACACGTAACGTTACAACTAATACAAAAATTGATCTTGTTTCAGATACAGAATCCACCAAGGAAACTCCCGCTAACAAGAATACAAATACTACAGTAACACAGGTGACTACGTCTTTGATTACATCAAAATCTCCCAACACCCCAGCTTCCACAGTTGACAGGACCACACAGTATACTTCATCTTTTCCCACCACTCTTGTAACTACAAAAAGACGACGTGTGACTTATTTCCCTACTACAACGTATACTACAACTTATACAGCTAGACTTCCTGAGAGGATTACCAACATAACCAGAGAATATATTCGACCAGAGAAAATAGTCACACCCTTATTATATAAAGGTATATTTATTTCTTTAAACTTGTACTAAGGATGAATACCAATGTCTTAAAATACCTGGAAGGAATGTAGGGGGGTATATGTGAGTATATCTGGGTACACATGGTTTTTTGTAGGAGATGGGAAGTGATTTTGAGTATTAAAAAGTACCACAGCTATTTATCTTAAAAATTAAAAATTTAGTTTAGCCTTGAATATACTCAAGAATACAACTTTGTAAGTTTACCATTGCTCATGACTAAAAACCTAAAAACATGCCCCTGAGCATTCCTTGTTTATAATGTCCATGCATAACTGGAGCACGGTCCAGATATCTGCGTGCCAGGGTCTGGTACACATGAATGCAATACATGAAAAAGGCTAATCTGGGAGAGATGCTAGCCCTAGAGAGTGACCCTGGAAAGAAGTCCAGCATTGAATTGTTGGACTTTAACAGACCTACAAGTGAAGACGCAACCCCAAAATACACTGTTCTTCTTTTGACAATCCAACGTGCTCATATGATGGCACCATTTTCCATAATTCACATGCCTATCTCTCCAGCCTTCCCTCTGTTGACCCCACCCTATCTGGAGGAATACTTTCTAGCAACCCATAAATTGATTTAAGATAATTTGCCTTTAAACTCAGTATGTAATCAGCTCTTGTGAATACCATGCAAGAGTGCCATTTCCCCATAATCTTTCTTCTTTCTAATTCATGCACAAAATAGAAAGAGCAGAGAAATGTGCAACAAGGTCAAAAATAAAGCAGAGATGGTGGCATGCACGCTATCCTTATGCTCGGGAAAGTTTGAAACCTTCCTCCAACTCGTGGCTCTTCCCCCAGCAGAAGAGCCACTTAAGTTGGAGGACGTTTCCTCAGACTAGAGGAAGGCTTCCAATTTTGCCGAGCAGAATGGTATGATACATGCCATTAATGATACTTTTTCACAAATAAATATAACATGAAAAATATGCAACTTTTCAAGGCCAAGTTTGGTCTCAAATCTTTAAAACCTTATATAAATATCAGATCAGATGATGCACAGTGCAACCATATCACACAGGATTCTCTGCTGGGGTAACTTCAACAGGAATATACCTTCCATGGATAATTGCACTTCTGTTGTAGGGAAGAGTTTTTGGGGAAGGTTTGCCTTTATTAAAAATTCAGTGGGTAGGATGGAAAACCAAAGTAGTCTGGTGTTAAGAGTAGATCTGAATGGATATAGAATCAGTTCTTAGCTTGTATATGTACCTGCTTGATGGCCTTAGGAAATTAAACTATTAAGTAAAACTGTTTAGTTTTTACCTTACCCTTCCTCCAAGGAGTTCATGGCAGTTTTCCCCACCACCATCTTATCTTCACAACAATACTTGGAGGTAAGTTTGGCTGCAAAAGAGTGATTCGTCCAAGGGTACTTGGTGAGCTTCACGGATGAGTAGGGCTGTGAACCCAAGTTTGTGTGGTCCAAGTACAAGATGCCATCCATATGCCACACAGGCTCCCATCCACCACAATGCATACTGGCATTGTGTTCATAGATGTTCTCAGCAATAACACCTCATCAAAAAGATTGTAGACTTGTAGGCGTCATGGTAGCACTTGCACAACATCCCAAATGATCTTTCCAGAAATTGATCTTAATGCATGAGAGGCTCCAACCTCTGTTCCCTATTTTTTAAAATTAGATTTATATACCACCCTCTCCAAATGGGCTGGTGTACAACAGATATAATACAATTAAAATGGTATTAAAATAACAATTTACACATAAAATATCATAAAACACTGTGTAACTGTAGAGGTTTGCATTATAATATAATGCATTTGTAATATAATGCTAATGGTGACCAGTTTCATACAAGGGGGTAAGGAAAGAAAACACTAGTACCTATCAGTAGAATTATTGGTAGAGTGGGCTGTATTGTTTCCTAATGTAAAGTGAAAACGCATTCATTTTCTGGAAGGCATTAATTTTATGACTTGGGCAATGTTCCCTCTAATCCCCCCCCCCCCTGAGTGGAGCAGTTCACATCCTGAGTAGAATATAACTGCTGTAATCTTAAAATGGGCAATGGTCACTGCTAGACCCTACGTGGCTCCTGATTGCTGCTGAGCAGGGCTTCCTGTGTTAATGAGAGGCCATTCAGCTTAGAGGGAACACTGGCTTTGGCCCAGCGGTGCACGAGAGAATGGTGGCTGTCTAAACACTCTCAATAAATAAAATAAATCTATGGACAGCATGGGCTGAATCCAGCAATGCATGAAAGGAAAGTGTGCTTAGCAGGGTTCTACTTGCACAAGGAATGTTGTAGTGACTGTGACATGTAGCGCTCCAATAAATCTTTAAATAACATTGTGTCTGTGAAGCAATGGAATGTGCAACAGCACGCTCTCCTGACTTAATTTGATTTGATTTTGATAAAGCCATAGATTTATTTATTTAGAGCTTTCATATCTTGTGATATTTCTTACACATGCAAAATAAGATATTAGGGGGATACAGTTGCTCTCTCTTAATGCAAGCAGACACCAAGGAGTAATTTTAGTGCTTGCATTTGCACGAAGATTCTTGCATACATGCAAATCTTCCATGGGATCCATCCCAATTTGTGCAAATTCTTCCTAGCTGTATGTTTAGAAAAATATGGTGCAAACAATTATAAACATATAGGTACCAAATGGTATACTTGTGGATGAAACAGATGTCAGGACTAAAAGTCTGGAGGTCAACCCTAAGAAACTATTCTAGATTGCAATTCAGATTTGGTCTGAAAAGAGGGTAAGAAGGTTTTCACGGATCCTGAAATTTCTCTGATCCAGCTGTCCAGAAATTACCAATGCAAATACTTAGGGTAAGAGTGCCAGTGCTATTATGAATAATGATCTGGTTCCTAGTTTTGTATGTCTTTGTCAGAATTACCTCTGAAAACAAATTATGTGTCATTTGTGAGCAACCTGGGGGCCTGTGAGGAATCATGGGTGCGGGGAACAATTTTGAATTACCACTCTACCCTTCAAAATATCTTTGTCTTAGATACTTGAACAGTCTTATATGTGCTACTGCCCCAACTGACATTCAGCTGTTGTCAACATTATGTTCCTCTTGATGCATTTTGGTCCTTATCAGACTCTTATTTTGTTTTCTATTAATTTACGAAATCATATTTTCCCACATACCTGAGGAGTCTGCTGAACAGGTAGATATTCTGGCCTTATGGGTGGCACTTTTGTATTGCTTTTATTGTTCATACAGGAGTCAGCCAGTTTACTGTTACATCTGGCGCTGGATCGTGTGACTCCTTTCCAGCACGTCTTCCTTCAACAGAGCAATTCTTGCTTCTACAAAGACAGACTTTTTTCCATCTGAAGAAGACTTAACAGAAGAGTGCCATGGGATCCAGCTTAGCAGAATGAAGTCATAGGATCCATAGTGATACAGTAGCCTATTTCTATCACATTTTCCCACTTTGTTAGAGAACATTATGATGGACAATTTGTATTTTTAAAATTATTTAAAAAAAATTAAATAAGAACAATTACCAATTATTTTGCACCAGATATGCCTGAACAGACGAACTTGTGTAATGGGAAGCCTGCAGATGGGATTGTCCCTTTACAAAATGGATCATTAGCTGTATTCAGAGGTGAGTTACCAAACTATTTTTGTCAAAAGGTCAAATAGCAACGTATCTATAATAATTCGATCCTACCCTTCCTCTAAGGCAGCATGCACGGTTCTCCCTAGTCACTTTTACCCTCAAAACAATCCAGGGAGAGAGGTTAGGAAAGAGACAGTAACTATCCCAAGGCCATCCAGTCAACTTAGCTGGGGGATTTGAACTGCAACCCCCTGGGGCCTAGCCCAATGGTGTATCCATTAGACAGCTCCAGTTATCCAGCTTTGTGTGTGAACAATATATGCGTACATAACAACATGTTATCCAGCTTTGTGTGTGAACAATATATATGTACATAACAAGGTGTTATTTTATGTAGCTATTGGCCCCAGTTTGGTTGTATCTGTATATAGCTGTTCAGTGAAAAAAGTGACCCTAGATGAACATCAGAAACAAAAAATTGACATTCAGCCAGTACATTGATACTTGAACAAGTGGTCTCAAGCCATTTGGCTGCCCCAAGCAGTTTTCTCCCACACCACCCCAGTGAGATCCAGGGCATTGGTAGTGGTGGCAGCACAGCTGTGTGTGGGGACCTGGCTATGCCGCTCCTGCAAAGTCCAAGGCACGATTCAGAGACAGCACCTCTGCCTCCTGTCCTAGACACAAGCGGAGGTGTGGCAGAGAAATTTCCCCCCTGTCCAAGCTAGGTTCGTGTTGCTTTAAGAAGCACTTCGTATTTTTAATGCAGTGTTTCCCTAACTTTCAAAATTAATTCTCCCCACACACATACACACAAATTTATCCTAACCTTAAACTCAGTGCCACAATAACCATGTTCCACAGGTCACTGTGCATATATCCTTGGGTGTCCTTGTGGGCCAATAGCCTGATGGCACATGGCAGATGCTAGGATTGTGATAGTAATGAAGGACTAGCATTAGAAGAGGAGCAGAGTAGGATATTTCTGATCTCATATAGCTGTTCTCAAGGAACAGAAAGAGGTAGGAAAGCACCAAAACATCCTGGCCTCCTTGGTTTTGACATCACATTTGGATGGATGGCCAAAATAAGGGCATACTCATCAAATAAATCCAACTTAGGTCAGGGCGGGCCCACATCCAGAACCATCAAACTCTCCAGGCCTCAGCTGATGGGGAAGGAAGGCAACCCCTTTCTCAGGTACTGACATCTCTGGGGAACTTTGGACCCCGCTTTAAATGCCCTATACCTCCTAAGGAGAGTTTGAGAACCGTTATTGTAATGTTTTATATTTTTTCCAATGGGCATTCATCGAAAAGGATAAGCACTGCAGAGGGAGTGAGAGTGATAAAGACTAATGCTTTGCTTTCTCCACATAACTTCTACCTCTGCTTGCTTCTGCAGGTCATTACTACTGGTTGCTGGACGGAGCTAGCTCACCATCCCGTTGCCCTCGTAAGATCACTGAGGTGTGGGGCATTCCGTCCCCCATTGACACTGTCTTTTCTAGATGTAACTGTGATGGCAAAACCTTCTTTATCAAGGTGAAATAAGTTTATTTATCATCGTTAGCGACATATGCATATTGACAACTTAATTTTTTGCAGATACTGTTTACAACATAAGAATCTGGAATGTTGCCAGAAAAGAAGCCACCCATATTGTGCAGCCGGAAACCTTTTCCCCCAATCCTTTGGGTCTGGGACTTTAATCCTCCAGTAGAATTTGCCACCAACAAGAGAAAACACTCTCCCCTTTGTCCCCTGGATCAGGGTGTGCATCAGAGAGAGATGATGGCATAAGATTGGGTCTGCAAGTGGCAATCCTCTGACAAGTTCCCTCTTCCCTTTCTTCCCACTCGCTTTTGGTTGCTCAGCCATGCTGTCCCTTCAGTCCCTGGCTGAATCCTGATCAAGTGGAAAAAAAGATGGATGAGAGGATGAGATTATAGCCTGCAGTTCAGTGTCTTAACCACTTTAATAACTAAGTATAAATCTTAAAATGCACAGAGAAGTGGGAATACTCAGAATACTCAGATGACAGCTAACTAGAGGCAGAACACTAGGCAAAAGAACTGGAAGGTGGACGAAGAGTAGAACTTTTCTACATCCCTCTGCTTGGAAGAGAGTTTGAAGGTTGAGACATATGGTCATTCTGATTCCAGGTCTGGACACAGTTGCTCGCCCCTCTTCTCTTGAACACAGTCCAATTCCAGGCTGATAAATTTTATTGATTCTCCTGCAATTAACAGATCTGTTAATTCAATGAAACTGGGAGTGTGCAGGCAACACCTTTCCCTCCAAACATGTGTTACAAGGGCATGACATTATTGGCCATTTGATTCTGTCATCCTAATAATCCCCAGCATAGAATTTACCCTTTTGACTGCTGCTGCACACTGAGTCAACATTTTCCCTCTAGCTATCCACTGCAATCCCAATATTTCCTCAATCTCAGGCTCAGCCTGTGCAGACTTCATTAGCATATATTTAAATGTAGGATGTCTTGTTCCAGTGATCATCACTTTTAACTCACCAATGCTTAACTGCATTTGCCACGTTGTTGCCTGTTCACCCATGATTGCTAAGCTTACTTAGGAATTCTTGAGGAGGTACCTTGTTGAAAGCTTTTGTAAGTCCAAGTCTGATCTAGAGGTGTGCATTTGGCTTCCCTGACCCCCCCCAAAAAAATACCGAATAAATGCCTTGTCGGAATTTATTCAGTATTCTTAAGCTGAATGCAAATTCAGGAAACGTTTCAGCAACCGAATAGTTCCCCAAATTTATTCCTGAATTCATTCAACTTTTTGGGCTTTCGGGTAGTCGAATGCCGACTTCCTTGCCCCTGTGGCTTCCCTAGTCAATTTCACTCCCCACCAATCAGCTGTTAGGTTTAAGCCGTATAAAGCTGACAGGCTGGTGACAGTGAAATTGACCAGGGAAAGCCTCCTCTCTCTGTCTTCCCTTCTCCAGCTGCCCCAGGGCTGCTGAATAAGCGTAGGCAGAGAGAGCAGCCATGTTTAAATGCCTTTCCTTCCCACCCCAAGTTTGGGGAGATATTTGTGGTGAGCCAGCTGGGAAGCCAAAGGGCAACCATGAAAACATGCCTGGGCTCCCTGCCTGCCCTTCTCCAGCTACCCCAGGGCAGCTAGAGAAGGGAAGGCAGAGAGAGGAGGCTTTCCCTGGTCAGTTTCACTCCCATGGGCTCTTTGCTGTTTGGCTTAAATGGCTTAAACCTAGCAGCTGACTGGCCAGGAGTGAAATTGACCAGGAAAGCTGCAGGGGCTTTGGGAGGGAAAGAAGGCATTTTAACATGCCTCCCTTCCCTCCCATTGGGCATATCAGACCGAAATATTATCAGCAATACTGACTATTTCCCCAGTCCTGATACTTTACCAGTATTGGACTGGGGAAATTCGGCATTTACCAATATTTTTGGGGTCTGATATACCTGAAGCAAAAAAATACCGACTTTTTTTTTTGCACACCCCTAGTCTGATCTGGTAAGTTTACCAGATCACCCTTGTCCACACACTTGGCAACCTGATCAAAGAGCTCCAAAAAGGCAGGACTTTTAAAAAGAAGCCATGCTGATTTTCCCTCAGCAGGCTTTGTTCCTTGATGTGCTTAATTTTCTCTTGAATAACAGTTTCTTCTGGTTTTCCTGGAACAGATGCTATCTGGTCTGTAATTTCTTCGATCCCCTCTGGATCCATTTTTAAAAATTGGGAAGGCATTTGTTACTTTTCAATCATCCAGCACAGAGGCTTATTCTAGTGACAAGTTACATATTCTTGTAGGCTGATACATTTGAGTTTTTAAAGAACCCTTGGGTGCATGCCATTGGGAAGGGCAGACATGTTGATTTCAAGAACATCTCTCATCACCTCAATTTGACTCAGTTTTTCAGATACCCTTCTTCCAAACATTGGCTCAGGTGTGGATATGTGCCCCCCATTTTCCACAGTGAAGAAAGCGGCTAAGAATTCATTGTTCCTTTACCATTTCCTCATCTTCCTTAAGCAATCCTTTAATTCCTTGGTCATCAGAAGGCCCAAGAGCCTCCCTAGCTGGCTTCCTGCTCCTGATATATTTGAAGAAATGCTCATAGTTTGTCTTATCATTTTTACCAATCTATTCCTCAAATTTTCCTTTTGTTCACCTTATTATCAAACGTAAGTTGACAATGGAGGAATGCAGGGGAAATCCACACCCCCTTCTGTTGGTGTTCTGTCGGACAAAAGTCTTCATAGGTATCAAAAAAAGATTTTGTTGTACATTTCTCTGTGTTCAAAGCTAAAAGTGAAAATAGGGAATGAAACAAATGTCTTGCATGCAGGAACTTTATTGTGAATTTGTCATGAGAGATTCTTTTTGTGCCAAGATAGATTTTTCCAGACGCAAAAACTGTTTCTGATTTTGCTCATGGCTATGCAGATTTTAAAACCCCTGGAGTACAATCAGGCAATTTAAACAAAGTATATTTAACTGTTTAAACTACACGCAGTGAGAATGTTAAGTGCAATTAGGGTTCTCACTTGATTAAAAAAAACTTAGCTGGCGAAATATATGAGCTTTAATTGATCAACTAATTTGCATATAGATGACAATTATTTTAGTGAAAAAACATTTTATTTTTAGATCATGCGTGTATGTATCATGGCAAACAACTCAAAAGAGATATTCTCCCTTCTCACATGCAGGAATATTCCTGGCTAATTAAAAAAGCTCCCCCATTAATTAAAACATTTTAATATATTAAATAGACCAGCCAAATAACTAAACATAATTTAGCTGTTAAGTGTGAATCTTGCCAGAGTTTTGCTAATAAACTGCTGGGCTGGTAAGCGTGACAAACTGTTTTTGGTGCACGACTGTTATTTCTGAATGAGAAAGACCACACATTTTAGGAACCTGGTAGAAACATTTTTTAAAAATAATGTGGAAAGTCTGAAGCTTCCAAGGAACACCAGAACACTGTGTACCACACCTTATATTTCCTGTTCCTCAGCAGGACTAGTAGTAAAAGCAGAAATGACCCCAGAAATGTCAGCAACCTGTATACCTTGTAACCAAGATATATTTACCTTCTTAAGAGGATAATCTTGGAAACTAGAGAACGCCCAGGCATTTTGCAGCAGCTCACACTCAGTGGAGGTATGCCCCAGGGTACTTTGTAACAGTCCAGCAAATGATGGACATGACCAGCGGATTATGTGTGGCTTTCTGGCTTTAAAGATCTCGCCACTCCGAGCAACTGCTTGGATTGCTCTTGCAGTTGGCTCCCCATGGGGAGCTCCAACTTGGTCTATAATACAAGGTTAACACATGCCATTTATGCTGAATCAAATCAGAATCAAGTTTACATATTTTTACATGAGTGGTGTCGTACAAGAGTCTTAAATTAGCTGTGTGTTCTGAAATCTACACTTTACACCATGTCTTCTGCTTCTACATCCTACTTGTCCCTATTATTAGCAAATGTTCCCAATTAATATTGCCAAGATTGGAGGGAAAAAATCCTGGAGATCTCATCATAAGTAAACCAAGTCTGGCAGCTTGGGTGGGTCAGATTTGGACTGCCAAATCATACATGTTTTATTGAAAATATCCAGCTCTGTAAAGAAAAAGAAAAATTAAGCTAATTTCTTCCACCCAACCACAAATTATTGCATCAGCTAAGCTACCACTGAAGGATCCATGTAAGAAAGATGATTAAGAAAAAATGTATTAGCATAGACGTTTACCAAACTTTTAAAAAATTGTATGTTAAGCAGGGAGATGGAGAACCAGACTAGATGTTCTATGAGAGATGCGTGGATCAGTCTCAGAATAAGTTTTAAAAAATAAAACGAAAAGTTGCAATTAGAAATGGGTAATGGGAAGGAGAAGAGAGTCTGCTTATCCCTTTTGTTTCATGTGTCTGTCCACTCTTCAAAAAACCAACACTGGACCCTATGGTCCTGGCCATCTACTGCCCAGTGTCGAATCTACCGTTCCGTTCCTGGGTAAGGTGGTTGAGAGAGTGGTGGCCGAACAACTCCAAGCTTTCCTGGATGACGCTTCCATCCTCGATCCTTTCCAGGCTCCATGGTCAGAGACAGAGGGGGGCGCTGGGCAAGAGGATCTCCCTGCGATACCCACTGGAATGTGGAGTGCCGCAGGGGGCGATCCTCTTGCCAATGCTATTTAACATCTATATGTGCCCTCTTGCCCAGTTTGTCTGGAGGTATGGGTGGGGTTGTCATCAATATGCAGATGACACCCAGCTCTGTTATTGGAAGGCTATCCATTCTCTGCCCCTGATAATTTGGCCGAGGCTTTGGAGGCTGTGGCTGGATGGTTGTGGTAGAGTCGGTTGAAGCTAAATCCATCGAAGACAGAGGTCCTGTACCTAAGCTGGAAGGGAGGGGATATGGGAATCAGGCTCCCCACACTGGAAGGGGCACTTTTGGTGCCAGCCCAGAAGGTGAAGAGCCTGGGAGTGACACTGGATGCCTCTCTCTCTATGGAGGCCCGGGTTACTGCAGCTGCCTGATCTGCCTTTTTCCATCTTCAGCAGATTAGGTTGCTGAAACCCTCCCTCTCTCCCCAAGACTTGGCTACAGGGACCCATGCAATGGTTACTTCCAGGCTTGACTACTGTAATTTGCTTTATGCAGCCTTACCCTTGAGGCTGACCTGGAAATTACAGCCGGTGCAAAATGCAGCAGCGTGCCTGCTAACAGTGAAGCCTATGCAAGCTCACGTTTGGCAAGTACTCCGCCAATTGCATTGGTTACCGGTAGAGTCCCAGATCCATTTCAAGGTGTTGGTAATAACCTTTAAAGCCTTACATGGCCTGGGACCAACGTATCTGAGGGACCGCCTCTTCCTGTATATGCCCCGAAGAGCACTACGCTCTGTGGATCAACACCTCCTGGTAGTCCCTGGCCCGAAAGACATTCATCTTGCCTCAACCAGGGCCAGGGCCTTTTCCGCCCTGGCCCCTGCCTGGTGGAATATGCTCCCCATTGAGATCAGGGCCCTGCGGGATCTACTTCAATTCCACAGGGCCTGCAAGACGGAGCTCTTCCACCAGGCCTCTGGCTGAGGCAGCGGACGCCCATATATGGCCTCCCTGAGGTGTCCGTCACCCTGTTATTCTTTCAATCTAGCAGGGCTCTTTTTGTAGCAGGAACTCCTTTGCATATTAGGCCACACCCCCTAATGTAGCCAATCCTCCAAGAGCTTACAGAGCTCTTCTTACAGGGGCTACTGTATGTTCTTGAAGGATTGGGTACATTAGGGGTGTGTCGCTTAATATGCAAATGAGTACCTGCTACAAAAAGAGCCCTGCATGATCTATGTAACAACTACTGGCTATGGCCGGGAACCTCCCACAACCAGAAAATCTCTATGCTATATGCTGTGACCAACATTTTAATATTTTTAATATTTATGATGATGTTTTAAATGTTAATACAATAAAATTAACTAATACATTTTGTATAAATGAAATGTCATTACCCACCCTGAGCCTGCTTCCTGGAAAGGGCGGGCTGTAAATGTGAATGAATAAATACATAAATAAATGCAGTCTTGTTTCCTATGGATGGGAAAGCATTTGGAAAAGAAATGAGAACTGTGTACTGCGCCTGAGCTCCTTTGAGGAAGGAAGCAATAAAAAATATTGAAAGCCAGCACAGTATAGTGGTTCAAGTGTTCAGCTTGGATCCGGAAGACTCAGGTTTGAATCCACAATCTGTCATGTAAGCTTCCTGGGTGGCCTTGGGCTCGTCATGCACATACTTTATCTCACTTGGTTGTTAGATCAAGACAGGTAGCCCTGTTAGTCTGTCTGTAGCAGTAGAAAAGGGCAAGAGTCTAACGAAATGTGTGGCAGGGTATGAGCTTTCTTGTGAGTCACTGCTCACTTGGTTTTTGTGAGGAAAAAATGGAGAAGAAGAAGAAGATTGGATTTATACCCCGCCCTTTACTACCCAAAGGTGTCTCAGAGTGGCTTACAAACACAACAGACACCCTGTGAGGTAGGTGGGGCCGAGAGAGCTCTGACAAAAACTGCTCTTTTTCAAGGACAGCTCTTGTCAGAACTATGGCTTGTCCAAGATCATCCAGCCAGGTGCAAGTGGAGGAGTGGCTCTTACACCAAACTGGAGGAGAACAATATAGGTCATATTGGGTCCGTATTGGAGACAAACACTGGGAATAAATGAAGTAAAATCAAATCATTGTGAACAGATAAAATAGGAAAGATCCCCTTTTCTACGTATTTCTTTCTCCACTTCCAATTGCAACCTCTAAGGTTGCTTTTAATAATATTCACATTTTTAAAAAATCAGCTTGAAAGAGTTGGCCCCATTAAATTTACTGACCGCAGTAAAGTTTAACACAGCGGCAACAACACACACACACAGGTATCAGAACCCCATTTTGGCTTCTCAGTTCTATGCAAAGCGAGAACATCTGGGAGGCACTGCTCATAGCCATTAGAAGGACTTTCCCTCTTGACAAGTTTCTTGGCCCCACAGGAACCCCTTGCAGTTATCTGCCACTTGGAAGTTCCCCGTAGTCTCATTCTGCCTCCTACTCTGCATCACTCAGTGCAAAGTTCCGTGTGGGTGTATCGTGTCAAGTAATTACACATGAAAGCAAATGACTAATAATCATAAATAAATCAAACTTGTTAGCCTCAATTAAATCAATGTTTACACAGCGCACATTTTTGCATGCTTCATTTTGCTTGCAGAATTTCCTTTTCTAACTTGCAGTAAACATCTTAGCCTCAATGATAGTAGGGAGATGCTTTGCTGCAGAGAAAGTAAATTCCATAAAACCAGGTTTGGAATACAGTGGGGGCAGGGGACAGCTGTTTGGGGTAGTTTCAGCAAATAAGCTGCTGGCTGTGAAAGGATTTCTTTCCCATCTGTATCCAAGCGCATTTTGCAATGGACAAGCAACTATCAGAACTTCATTACATGCTGTGTAACATGTAGTTTACTCTTAAATATATTATTCCCTCAAAGTTGTTAATGCTTTTCTTTCCATATTCTGTAGATCGAGGGATGAGGCTCTGTGTCATGCACCATCAGTTAAGGATGGAACAGTCTATCAAGGCATGAAGTAGGGCATTCTTAGCCTAGACTGGGGGAATAGTTTAAACTAGGGGTGTGCATTTGGCATAAACAGAGCTGAAAAAACCCCTGAAAAATACTTTACTGGTATTTTGGGGGTATTTTTTCAGCTGGTTAGCTAGTGGGCTACTTATCTGGTTATCCGAAAATGGCCAACCCAAAAAAATCTCAAAAATATTTGGGATATATGGGGACAGTTGGATAGGTGCAGTTAAAGGGAATTTAAATGCCTTTGGAGTGAACTCTCAGCTTGGAGAAGGCATTTAGAGGGACCGTGAGCCCTTTACATGGCTTTGGAGTTCACTCACTGTGGAGTTGTGTGCCTTGGAGAAGGCATTTAAAGGGACCGCAATCCTTTTAAGTACCTTTTCCTCCTCCACTGGAAAAAATGGAGGATGGGGGCACTTTCTTTGGGGACCCATAGAATTGGACCCCCTGGTCCAATCTTTTTGAAATGGGGGGGAGCCTATACCGAAAAAAACAGGGGCCCCCAGGTACCCCCATATCGATTATCTGTTATAGCTTATATTCAGCAATCTCAAACATTTAATGAATCCAAATACCATACTGGTATTTGGTTTTGGGAATATTGGAAAATACCAATTTTGGGGGGCTCAATATACCCAAATCCAAAAAATACCAGGTTGGGGTTTTTTTGCAAACCCCCCCCCCCAAATCTATACATGGAGATCACCATTCTCATTTACTGCCTGTATATTTTGCTAGAAAGGGCTCTGCAACCAGTATTGAACCAAATGTGGCTCCTTAAAAAAGTAAATTTAATCTGTGCATTAAGATATTTGGAGGGGTAGGTGGGATGCTGGAATGACCAGCATGTGAAGGGAATGGCAGGAAAAGATGTTTTATGGTACTAGAGGGTTTTTAAGAGATATTTTACATAAAGGGAAATGACAGAGGTGAACAGTTGCCAGCAGTGCTAGTACAAACCATGCATGTATCTGTGCCGGTGCATGAAAACACTTGTGCAGGGTGCTTCTGTGTATATCTATTACACATTGTGACACCTTGACTGTGCCACTTTCCTAATGAAGGATGCTCAACAACCAGTGTTGGGGCTATGGACACTATGAACGATGAATCATCACGTCAATTATCAGTAATTATTGCTTGCTCTGAATTTTGATGTAGTTTGTCTCTGATTATAAAAGGTTTGTGACCTCTGTGCTGGGAGGTGTTCCCCATTTCTACAAGCTTTTCCAAGCTGGGATTTAATTAGTTCTGGTTTTGATTAACACTTGCTTTATTGCAGCTTTTTATTTCAAAATGATGTATATTAATATTTAATTGTGATGTTAGCCTTGTGTTGGAAAGGCAACTAGTAAATGCAGCCAACATGTGAAAGGGTTTGTCCTGGAATCCACTTGAGTGTTGTAAGATATGACTGCATCTGCACAGATCTCTTCAACATAACTCCTTGTATGTGTATTTCCACCAGGAAATTAAGTGTTATATTGAAATAATCCTGGCGTCGTTTTTCCACCCCAGCCAAAGATCTGCTATATTATAACCGGTAACAGATATTTCCTGGCATGGTATAACTTTGTCTATTTTAATTCTCAGGATTCTCAGTACTGGCGCTTCACCAATGACATAATGGATTCTGGCTATCCCAAGCCCGTTTTAAAAGGATTTGGAGGATTAAATGGGAAAATAGTAGCAGCCCTCTCTGTAGCAAAACACAAGAGCAGGCCAGAATCTGTATATTTCTTCAAAAAAGGTGGGTTTCACATTTTATATACCAATCAGACTAGCAACACTGGATACAATCCAGAAGCCAGTGACAGACCTGAATATTTAAGCCTCTTTTGATGAATATGAGAACCAAGTGATGTAACTGAACGATTTCTTTGGCATGTGTTGCAGGGGAGATCTTGGATTATTTACTGGCATTATACAGTATTCCAAAGTGTTAACAATTAAATCTTTGGAATAATTAAAAGAGTTTTGAAGAGGAAAAAAGCCTTGGGATGGATGGTGTGCTTCCACGAGCAGAAGTCATTCTGCTTGCACAAGAGGGGAAGGGGGTCCATGTTTTTTGCAGATTTCCTTCTCAGGCTGCAGTCCACAGTGTTTCCCAACCACTCCCAGTTGTTTCGGTGGCATGAAGAGCTACCCAAAATGGTTCGGTTCCATTTCACCATCAGACCTTTGCTCTTGGATCCAAGGCCATTGCTTTTAAGTGATGCATACAATGAATTATGCCTACCACAGTATGGCTTTTGTAAATGTTTAAACAACTGATCCCAAAAAACTGCTCTCTTTAATGTACCAGGGCTACTTCTTAAATTAAGTTGACTGTCCACATCTCTATATTCCTTTCTTTTAAAGTCCTATAAGATATTTTAAAACTAAGAATGGAGACTACCAACAGCTATGACATGATAAATGTCAGGAGTAGACCGCAGTTTTATTATTAGTGTCATCATAGCAGTCATCTCATATGCTGTGAATTAAAGTGAAGCTGCTTTCCTTGGCTACCAGAGAAGTTTTACAAATGTGGCTTTTCTGCGATAGGAGGCAATGTTCAACAATACACCTACAAGCAAGAAAGTGCTAAGAAGTGCAAGAAGAAAATTGTGACTGTGAAATACCCGGCTTATAAACCAAAAGCTGTGATCAGGAGGCATCGGCGACGCTTTCAGCGTGCAGTCAGACCTCACCAGATTTTCCGCACTGTCAGAATCAGACAGTACCCTGTCATTCAGATCACCCGTCAACCAACACGCACATTCATCCATCAACCAGCAAGCACGTTCATCCATCAACCAACAGGCACGTTCACCATTTATGTTAACTACAATCCTGTACACAGGTAGATTAAATCCAACTGAATTTAATAGGATTCAGCAGCATGTGTGCATAACTGAAGCACAGCTGTTTCGAAACAATTGTCTGAGGAGGCACTTCCTTCAGGTTTAACATTTAAGACTGACATTGAGTTTGAGCTATTCAAATCTTTGCTTTCATAGGGGTTATTTTATTTACTTATTTATTTATATCTTCGATTTCTACCCCGCTCCAACCCCGAAGGGTCTCTGAGCGGCTTACAAGTTCCGAATTTATCCCTAGCTAAGGCCACATGTCTACAGGGGTTGGGGCTGCCTACCGGCACCCAGGTGACAGGGCTCGCTGCTTTTCTTAGTTGTTCTTCCCGGGCAGTCTTTCGGGTGTCAGAGCTCAGTTCCTGGTGTGGTCGTCCGGTCCGGTGGCTTCCTCTTTCTTTCTTTCGGCAGGCCCGTCTGGTATGTGGGTCGTATCGACTTACAGCCCAGCTAACGTCCGTACGGCTCCGCTGCGCTTGCGTCACGTCACCACGTCCTTCTGTGGCTCCGCCTCTGTCTCCGACGCTGCACCACTCCATCGCTGCCATTTCCACCGTCACCGTTGCTGTCGCTTCTACTGCTCCTGCCACGCACACCCGTATGGGGAGGGTGCCCCCTGCCACCTAAGGGCACCCTTATGTGCCAATAAGATGACTTTCAGAAGTGCTTACGTCACAAGAGAAATTACTATTGTGTTTGCAGGAGTGTTGCAGCCAGAGGTCAAAATCGCATCATACTGGAGAGGATTTCCAAAGGAAGTGAATTCTGTTATCTCAGTGCCTAATGAGCGGAAGTCAGATGGCTATGATTACTATGCTTTCTCTAAAGGTACACTGCTAAGGCATCTCAGCACCAACCTCTAAAACTGGCAAATCTTTTAAGACTAATGCTCTGCAATTCATGGGGACTCGCAGATGGGACACAGCGCTAAGACTGTTTTGGACTGGGGCGGCACTGTGTGGGAGGAATGGGTTAACTTGCAGTCCCCCACAGTTTCACCAATTAAGCTCCCCTCCTCTTGTAGCTAAGACGCTGTTGAATTGGGGCTGCACTGTATAGGAGGAATGGGTTAACTTGCATCCCCCACAGTTTCACCAATTAAGCTCCCCTCCTCTTGTGCTACCAGCGCTCAGCAGCCCTGGAAAAACGGGGGGTGGATGGAAGAAAATTCTCTTTGTCTTTTTTCTTCTCCGAAGCTAACAATATAGTGGGGGAGAGGGAAGGAGAGAGGAACAGAACTTCAGCTGGTGAAACCATACAGATGGGGAATACTTAAATTCATTCTCCCCAAACCACAGCCCAAACAATATCAGGGACGTGCATGGAAGCTCTCAACCTTTTAACACCACGAGGAGATTAGAGCCGTTAAGTCCTGGAGGGAGAACCCAGGGAAAGCTGTGGAAAAAAGGTTTTCTGTGGAGTAGTTTTAAAGTTTTCTAATGGGGGAAAAAAATTGGGACAGTCCTTGGAGGACTGAATTTTTATGCCCCCCCCCCCCAACCTTCACATTTTTAGGAAGATCCAACCACCCAGTCTCCTGCCTGGTTTTTTTAGCCTTAAGGCTACTTTTATTTTATTTTTTTCCTTTTCCAGATCAATATCACCATGTGGACGTGGCCAGCAGAATAGCAAGACCCGTCACATTGCTGACTGGCCAAACGGCATCCAAGGCATGGTACAAGTGTCCTTCAGAGTGATGTGGAGGCGCAAAGGCTGAAAGAAGTGCTATTACCTTTGACAATTTCCATTATTTTTATTAATAAAAGACAATGAAATGTTCATACACCAATCCAAGTTTAAAAACTGCCTTTAAGCTTGGTGGCTGCTATACAAATACAGAATAGAAGCCAACTGAACAGTATACACTTTCTCCAAGTTTTTGTTTTGACAGAACTCAGTTAATATTTCCTCTGTTTAGACCTCCTCTTCCTCCCATTGCATGAGTTACCCCTGCAAGAAAAGAGTATTAATTACTTTTTATTCCAGTATTGTTATTAATCTTTCATTAATTTAAACATCACTATTGAAAGATTCCTAGGAGATCCCCTTCCACACACTCTTTTTATGATATGAACTCCATCTTACATATATCAGACACTGCATGCTTTATTGTGGGTACATATTACTTCCTTTTTAATCACATCTATTTCAACCAATTAAAAAAACAGCATCCTGTGCTGGAAATACCTCTGGTTTATCCCAAATGTGATTTTGACAACTAGATCGAATGGTGAAAGAAACATGACTGTTGGGGTTTTTTTTTGGGGGGGGGGGACGACGACTGGCATACTGACTCTAAAAAAACCAATTACTTGGATGCAAATTTTAATTTCTTTGAACAAACCATCATTTTCAGGCAATTCTACATGTCATTAGCACTGACAAGATCTTCAGACTGAGGGAACGGACACATTTAAAAAAGGCATGAGCTTATAAATAACTATGCCTTGTTAAGCTTTTGTGTTTTGCTGATGAGATACTTATATTTATTTATGATCTACTGAAATTCATTTTTTCTCTTGGTAAAAACCCATAGCATTTTCTGGAGCATCTTTAGGTTTGTTTGTTTTTTAATTTTCCCTGAAAGTCTTTGAGGCAGGGAATTCAACATTATCCAGCTCCATGCATATCATTGGTGGCTACACTACTACTCGATACAGTCTTTTTAAGAGCAAGGAGGGGAAACTTGTTAAGAGATCATGCACAGTGTTACAAAGCCATTCTTATGTGAGCTCCAAAGGGTACCTACCCCTCTGTCTGTTAAACTGTCGACCACGAACTCCCGTTCTCAGTGTTGGGGGCTGAAGCCTGACCCGCCGAAAAGGCTTGGGATGATTACTGCTTGTGTCTGGAAGAGAGGTCACGGGAGAAAAGAGTATGGCTGTGACTGCAGTTTGACTTGAGCTGCGGATTAACTGTAGACATGGCTGAATTTCAATATACAGCTGCTCTTGATTTTTAGCCTTCTGTACTTTTGTGAGGGTGTAGGAAATACAAATAAAACCTCAAACTGGGAAAAAAAGCAGTTTTGGGCTTTCATCTTTCAGCATGTTATCTACCTCCATGAATGTTAATCCTTAAGTGCATGATAAAAATAATATGAAGAGACATGTAGGCTCCTTTTTCAGTACTCAGTACTGAAAAAGAGAATCTAGCGTTACGCTTTTCCTGAGGCTTGAGGGCCCACAATGGGTTGGGATCCAGTCTTAACATTTCCATGCACACACACGTGCATGTGGCTTTTCTTGATTTCCTCTTTCTGCATCAGACCTTCAACATCTTCCCCAAACTACTCCTGGAGACCAGTATTTCAGGGGGCATTTTGGGCTGCAGTGGTGGGGGGAGGGGGAAGATACGGAAATCATGCTTCTGTGGATGGAAATCCTTCCATCTGCTCAAATTTCAGAGGGATGCCTTCAATATCCAGTGTTTAGACCTTTCATGTAAGAATAATCTACCTGGCCTTACCCACTTTTTATCACTTGGATCAAGAAAGTACCCTGACTCCCTATACTGAAATCTGCACTCTCCTCCACAAATGCCCAGCAGCATAACAAAATAATTGTTGGGGGAAACATGCAGATCTTCTAAATGGAGAATTAAAAAGTCAATACTCCAATGTCATTCATTCACTTATTACTCTGTGTTGGCCTTAATTTGGTTCTATTACTGCAGACAACCATGGCTACCTACCCGAGAATAAGCAACTACCCAAGTTAACCCTGACTGATAGGGCTGTGCCGTACCTGCAGATGAACTTGAAGGAGGATCTTGACTGGTAGAAGGAAGGTCTGATTCGTCAGGTGTTTGAGATGATTCTTCTTCTTGCTGGCTATCAATCTCTAGACCAACCTCTGAAGTAATTCTGAAGGGGAGTGATAAATGTGTAATTATGAGACTTCAACAGATCAATGAGAGGACAAAGCCCCTTACTGGTTTTATTTATAGTGGAAACATAACCTCCTCCTGCCCAATTTCTCCTGTACCTGGAAATGTTAAACATGGGAAACAACAGAAATGAATATTTTTATCCAGCCCATTTTCATAAATGCCAGTGATTGCAACTTTAAAAAACTTCAGTACTAATGTTCCCTCTAAGCTGTGGAGTCTTGTGAGCAAAAATTCTACTTTGTGAGCGACTGGCATTAAAGTTGTGAGCGAGCAATTTGGCTGCTGTATAAATTAGTTTGCTCTGGAGCCCTCCTTCCTGAGCTTAGACAAAAATGGGTGAGCCGGAGGCTACAAAACTGTGAGCTAGCTCACACTAACTCAGCTTAGAGGGAACACTGTTCAGTACTAATGTTGACCATTAAGAACATATATTTGAAGAACACATCCCGAGAAAAGAGATAATAGTTTCTCTGAGATACTGCACAAAGAGGCTTCTGCAGGATACCTGCCAAAGAGGGCCAGGAAACCAAATGCGAGGGAAGAAACGGCAGTTTTGCTTTCCATGCCATGTTGTTTCCGAATGTAGGACTGTACTTCTTCCCATGAATTGAGAAAACTGATTCACTTACATGAAAAAAGTAAAGGGCTGCTCTTAGAAACATCACAGGGATAGGGAATGCCTGGTTAACTCCAGCCATTTAAAAATCAAGCCTGAGGCTTTTTTGTTTACAGAAAGCAATCTATGAATAGAAAAAAAAAATCTACTTCAGGAGAGCAGTAGACGTTAAACTTCCAAGCACAGTGTTGGGCAGTCCCTATTCCCCAGTAGCATATCACATGCTCTTAAAACATTAATCCTCTCCTAAGCATTAATCCTAATCAATGCACTAGACAAAACACAAGAAAGCCCAATATTCCAGCAGAAAACATTACTTAACATTATTAAGATTTATAACTATTCCACAAGATCAGCTATACTAAGCAGGCTCTATTGAACAGCCATGTTTGGTTTTTTTTAGTTATGACAAGGTTAATAAACTACAAAGCAAATGAAGATACTCAATAGGTAATTTTATTCCAGGCACAGAGCAGAAGGCAAATCTTGTTCATATCACTCAATCCAGAGTATCTTTCAAAAATCTGTCTCTGGGAATATTATATAGGGAAGAGCAAAGATATAGTGCAGGGTGTCTTCAACTTCTATTTGGTACACATGTACAAGGACACTGATCTACTGGAATTTTAGAATATATTTTCCATCTAAATAGGCTGTGGCTATGGTCTGAACCCTATCAAGACACAGCCTTATCCTGGATTCAATTTTTTGGGTAAAATCATCATTTTAGATTTCAGTATGGGGAGAAGGAATAATTCATAATAAAGTTCAAGCACCTGCTTTTGACTATGTTTAACCTTAAACCTGGTATGTTTTAAGAGCATGTGATATGATACAGGGGAATAGAGATGGCCCGACTCTGTGCTTAGGAGAGAACTGATGTCTACTGCTCTCCTGAACTGGGAAAATATTTTCTTTATGAACAACCAAACTCCCATCGACTTCCTGCAGATGGACTTTCTTCTGGTGATTTGAACTAGCTTAGCAGTATCCATACAAGTGTCTCAAAATAACTACATCTGAACAGAACAGTGACGTGCTGCTATAGAACAATGCTAATTTCTGAAGAAATGATGTTTTCTAAAACACACACACACACACACAAAACAACTCTCTATCGGAAACCAACCATGCTGACTGGGCATGGAAGTTTGGGGGTGAAATTACTGAGCTGATCTTAACCAAGTTTAACTGCTGCAGCCCAAAGATCACATGCTATCAATGAAAAATGAAGTGGTCTGGTGCCAGTTATCAGCCACAGCCAATGTTAGCCATAGGAACATAACATTTCATTTACTACTGCTGCCAAGTCATTTTATATGGACCTGCACAAGTTGAGCTGTCTATAAACCTTCACGTCTTTGCCAATGCCAGAGGATCTGAATCTAAACTAGACTGGATTGAGTGCATATTTTCCACAGCCAGTGGATTAATTTGTGAATCATGTCCTGCATCCATGAAGTCATCTCTAAAGGCAGATGGCAGCAATTCACTCTCTCTAAGCAGGGCAGCTCCATTTAAGGACTTGCAGCCTGAAAAGCCTTTCAGATATAAAGGGGTTAAAACAGATACCTTAATTGTCCCTTTTGGGAGGAGAGAGAGATCAGGTGAGATAAGCTGCAATTAATATTTACACAATGCTTTTGGCATATTCTATGCACCTCACAGAATAACTTCCAACTATCAACCTGGATGTTTGGATTGCAGTACCCATTCTACAGATGGAAGGGGAAGAGGTTGAGAGAAAGTGGCTAATTTGATGGCCAGGTAGTGAGTGAATGGGTGAGCACAGCCTTTTAACCTTCTGGATTCACGGTGTTACTTTGCAAGTTAATTTAGAAGGCATCAAGCCACTAATAGATATATTCGTGGTATGGGAAAATGTAATGAGTTCTTTGACAGGTAAGCGAATTGAGGTTTTTCAACAAGATTATGCACAGGCCACACTCCCTGCCCAGCGGGATCAAGTCTTAGCCACCAACAGCTGAACTTACCCTTCTGATTCTGCCTCCACAAAAACCTCATCGCCATCATCGCCGGTTCCAGATTCTGAAGTGGTAGATAAGTTCCCAGTGGAAGTCGTAACCATTGGGACAGACTGAGACGCATGTTCTGAAGCATCAGCAGCAGTGCTCTCAGTGAATACAGAAACTTGACACAAAGAGTGGAGAAAGCACAGAATCAGCTACAAGATGGTACTGCAAACCCCCCCACTACAATAACAAAGTCCGGGTTTCTAAGAACTGCAGCTTGTTCTCACTGAATATCATGGAAGATGCATTCTTTAACCTATATATTTATCACATATACTTTATTTCACAACGATTAGAAGATAATTACTTGTGAAATCAGGGCAAACAGAGTACCTGCATGGGACTGACCAAAAACATGGTGGTTATCTGGCTGGTCACAGTCTAACAGGTCAGGCATTGTTTGATAAAGTTGCGGAGGGTGGGGGGAATGCAGCTGAAGATTTGTGAAACAGATGCAAAGTCAGAAAAGAAAGGGAGGGATTTGGAGACACTGTATTATTTGGTGCTCAGCCTTTGCTCACCAAAAGCCTAGACTCAGGCTCCTCCTAGATCCTAAGTTTCTAATGGGGGCTGTGTATACTGTTTCAGATTTTCCTTTGAGACTCCAGCCCTTACTCCTTTTTGGGTACTGTGAGTGCAGTCAGGAGACTCAATTTGAGTCACATGCCACTGCCATTCTACACGGCAAACTGTAGCAATGCTTGACACACAGCGTGTCACTTATTTCTTGCTCAACAGGGCAAGTCCACCAAATGGGAACCACATGGAAAGCCACACTTTGTAGGAAAAACCAGTCACAAGCAAACACGTTGCACTAAATTCATTTTCAGCGGCTCGTTTTATCACAACCACAAGATGGTATGATAAACAGTCCACGTGAACTAAACATTTGCACAACCAAAACAATATTGCGGACATTCCCAGTACTCACCAGGGGCTGCAACTTGAAGTGGAGTTGTCGGCACACTCCGCCCCCCTGACTCTTCTTCGTGGGCGAGGAAGAGAGGAGTCTCGTACATTCCTAATCCTACAAGCAATTCTGGAGTTAATGACCTGAGCCAGAAGGATGGGCAGAAGATATTCTCTATCCAAGCTAGACTTCTTTAAAAAAATAAATAAATATCAGCCTCAGCAACTGAGGCTGCTTCCACATGGCAATGTGAGAAACACAACCTTTCCATCCACATGGCATGCAAGCCTGCACTGACCGCAATACTTTTTAGGAAAGATGGGGGCAGAACAGGAGAAGCTCTGGAAAAGGACAATTTGAGGATGATCCTTTTTGACAGCTAAGCCTGGAGCAAAACAGACCCCGTGGATGCACAGCCTGAAACTCACCCCTACAGCTAGTACCAGACTACGTCCCAATAGCATCCTGAGACTCAACCCGACCAACAGTGTCATTTAAGCTGCAGCAGATGAAAGTGGCTATGGGTAAATGACGGGTAAAGTGCAGACCCTTCTCCATCACTCTCAAGTTTTGCTTATGGTTGAAGAGCATTCACCACCTGCTTTGAATGCATGACGACATTAAACTTCAAGCAAGTTCTACCATCTCACAATAAAACTGCAGTTGCAAGACTAGACAAACTTTTCTGTGCATGTTTTAAAGAGGCAGAGAACAATCTAGGGTTCACCATGTCACGTCTTTCTTACCACCTAATCTGCCCATAAGGCAGGCCAGACACTGAGTTGCCTGGCTTAGCAGAGAGATTTTTTTGTTTGAGCTAGTTTCTTATTGTGGTTGTCATAAATCCCATTAGACATAACACAGACAGAGAAAACGGCTAGGTAAGTGTACCTCCTTGAGATGCAAGCTGGCCAAGATCAGAGTGGCTTGAACTGGTCTGTGGCATATCTTCAGGAGGCCCGAACCTGAATCTAGGAACTCCAGCAACCTGAGGGGAACTATTAAAAACAACAACAACACGGGTGGCATTCTGTCTCCTAAATTCCCTGATTCTTTGTACAACAAATGGGGGGAGGGAAGAGAAATGCACAAATAAGACAAACTGTCTAGCACGGGTCCCGAACTCCAGTTCTCGTCAAAGCTCCTACTCATCACAGCCCTCACAGCTTTGCTCTTTTTCCTGGGGGGGGGGGGGTTCCCCTCAAGTTGGTATAAAGACCTTTGCCTTCTGTAGCAGTCCTCATCTGTGGATTTGACTATCTGCACTTAGGTTCATGTTCACCATTAGATATATGATAACCAAATGGGATCCCCACAGGCTTCTGGCTCCCAGCCATCTATTATGGACTGCTTCAGCAACCTCAAAGAATTCAGAGGTTGGTGGACTAATGTGACTTGTAGGCTTATTAATAGTGACAGGTCTTTTAACTTCACTAAGTGGGCTTCAACTGAGAAGCCATTTTAAAGTACGCCTTCACCATCGTAACTCAGAATCCACTTACTGAATTGCTTCCGCAAAACCATCTGTACGATGTGGCACCACTAACGTCGGCGTGCTGGGGACTGTCCTGTCTTCATCATCAAAGAAGTGCTGCTGCTAAAGAAAACGTTAAAGATCACAAACTAAAGCAACAGAAAAACTGCAAGATCCTTAAACCACCACGAACCCCAACATCTTTGTTCTTCTTGTTTAATGTTTTGATGGAAATGTGTAGCAAACAAGGGAGCTGACTAGCATTCTAAACAGTTTCCAAAGAAAGGTACACAATTCGTTGTAAATGTATGTATTACCCATAAAATACATCACCACCCCAGTTTTGTGGAATTTGTTTTGAAGGTCTGTTGAACTCCTCATACCGAAAGTTAGAAATTGGAAATGGAAGACAATATTATCAATTTGCCTTGTTTTTCGTAGTTAACATAACCAGCTCCATTTGAAACAGGCTACAAAGCAGGCCTGTAGTCACAGTGGGGCATTTGGGGGCAGATCCCCACCACCCACGAGCCCTGCCCCACCACCTGATGATGCCAGACACCCCCACCCCCAGTGTGCCTAACTCCGCAGCTGCAAGGCTGGGGGTGGGGGGAGCCGTCCTGCAGCTTCTGATCAGTTTCGCTCCCCACCCATAATCTGTTAGGTTTAACAGCTGCTCCTCCCGGAGTGAAACTGACCAGAAGTGGCAGGGCAGCTTTCCTTTCCTTCCCCAGCCTCCCCACTGATGGGCGGCGGGGGGGGCCCAATCTCTCTTTCTCTCTCTCGGGGTAGCCAATCTCCAGGTGGTGGCTGGGGATTCCCTGGCATTACACCTGATCTCCAGGTGGACTCTGTGGCATTATATCCCATTGAAGCCCCTCCCCCAAACCCCGTGCTCCTCAGGCTCCACCCCCAAATTCTCCAGTTATTTACTATTTTTAACTATAAGCATAACATGTACCCCACAAAATGAAAAATCCAGGGGGGGGGGAGGTGCAGTCACGAGCCTGTCGCTGAGAGTGAATCCAGCACTTAATCAATTCAGGCATCTTCACCAGAGGGTGGGAAAAAGATAACTCTTACCATGCCCCCTATGCCAGGTGTTAGCTGAAGTCCACGTCCCACTGACTGCCTCCTAGTCATCTGTATTCTCTACAAGGGAAACAATTAAAATATTTCAGACCATCTACCAGCAGATGAGCAACCTCAGGCCCACTGGCCACATCCAGTACAGCATATTCCATGCAGACAGAGGAAAGGTAGGAAACAGTATCCTTCAATTCTAAAACTGTACCTTCTTTGGAGGTACTAATGTGTTTGGGACAGGGAGAGAGGAGAACGGAAGAAGAGTACCAAGGACTCAGACTGAGTTACAGAGCAAGTGAATGCAATTGTGTTCTGCTGTGCACACCTATGTACGTTGATGGGTCACTTGCCAGTTTAAAGCAAGCATGGCCATCCCGAGGGAAGATGGGACGAAGATGCTCTCTCCATCTCCCTTAGATTAACAGCAAGGTTTGCAGGTCCAAAGTTTAGCAACAGCAAAATACATCCTTCTCTCACAACAATAACAAGTTTATTTTAAAAGGAACAATCCTAATGTAAGCATTTCTTTTCACTGAACAACAGTCAAATATTAACATATGCTTTAAAGCACATTAGTAATTTAATATAACATGAGGGTTGTTATTTTTTTTTTAAAAAGAGACCATTGGCTCTTGTTACATTGAAGAAAGTCATATGCGCACTGAAACATGCCTTGGTACTAGTAAGCGCAACCCTAAACAGAGGAATGTCCTCCAGATTGCCCAGCAGCTCACACAAAAGGAGCTTCATACAAAAAAGAGTGTAGAAAACCCCTTGCTGAATCCTCATGTTCTACTGGCACACAGTAATGACAACCAAGTAAAAGGGCAGAGACTCCAATGGGTTACAGCTAAGCTTTTTTTAAATTACACTTTTACAGAGGAAGTATTGATTTTACTATAAAATGGGCTATAATTTCAGCTCCCACCGTTACTCCTGAACACTTTTTATTTCTGTGCTTGTTGCACAACACTACTGACAGCCTCGAAGAGGAGGAAATAAAGCTTAGTCAGGCATGGCAATTCATAATCACTCAAGAGACCTAATATTTCTGGTCCAAAAAAGAACCACCCCAGAGTAGTTTTCCAGATGCACAGAAATAAAAAACTTCGCATGGCAGTTCTCTGAGAGATTTCAAAGGTTTGGACGGAGACAACACACCTGCACAGGTGGCCCCAGCTCCTGTGGTGGAGCAGGAATAGCGTGAATGGTCAGCCGTGGTGGTAATGGGTGGGGTCGAGGTGGACGTGGTGTCTGTCTCTCAGAAGCAGAGGTTGGCTGCTGTTCTCTTGGGCTTTCCTGAGAGAAGGTGGACTCGGCAACACCTGCGCTCCCATCACCTTATGGTAAAGGAATAATATTCGGTGAGAGGCAGTGGATTATTTTAATGAATGTACTGAACTGGGAAGCTGAAAAAAGGAATACATTTTGCCCCAAAGTAGAACAGAGAACAGTTATTAACACCACAAGTTCTATTTTGCTCCCAAAACAGCATTTCTGATTAATGAGAAATGGATTACGATTATTTACAATATTTAAATGGCAACTTTCCTTGTGGCTCAAACCAACGAACAAAACCCCCAAATAACCCCCTGCAGCCAAGAGAGACTGGAAGGTTATGCCCCAATCAAAGTCCTGGCAAATAAAATGGTATGGCTGCACCTCCTGAAAGTTATAAGTAAACACCCCCAAGCAACTGCTACATCCTGAGCATGGGAAAAGGGTACATCATGAATCAATCTCACAAGCCACAGTTCTGACTTTTCAGGGGGTTCGGCATAACCATTTCCTCTAATTTTTGGACCCAGTTCACACCCCAAGAATGAGAGGGTTTGAAAAAAAATATTTTTCCCAGGTATGGAAGACACGGCTTTGGATTAATTGGAAGGTAAGTCCAGCAACTCAGGGAAGCAAGCATGCAAGTCACCCTTTCCCACTGTGGCCTGACATGCTGCTCCTCCCCAATCCTGTTCTGGGGGAGCAAAGCAGAGAGTGGACGGGAGAAGCAGATGGGGAACGATTGCTCCCCCACTCCCCTGCTGGCAGATGGGGTTCCCGTCTACGGGGAGTGCAGCTACCATGCAAACTATTACTGTTAATGAAGACTCATTATTAGGTATGTATACCACAGTTCTGAGAGTCAGCTGCTCTCTGGCTGCTTTCACCTCCAGCAAGGCTCTCTTCAGTTTCTGTACTGGGATCCATTCCATCAGCACCCTGGACACAAATGTACAAAAAAAGAAAACTCAATGGAAACCTCAGGAATGAAGCACACAGTTGCATACACCTTGTGAAAAAAGCTTTCGTGTGTGTGTGTGTGTGTGTGTGTGTGATCCTTCTCTAGAAACTTTTCATCCTATGATTTCTACCGGGCTTTAAATCTGTTGCCTTTTACAAGCACTGTGTGTCACTTTGAGGATTCTGGTCACATACTCACAAGATTGATGTTTGGTTACTCTTGACTTCTATTGCACATATTTCACAGATGTTGAATCTTTGTATGTGTTTTACACCTTTACTTGATAAGTTAATACACTGTTTTTGTTCAATGTTATGTATTCAATATCAAATTATAATGTTACTCAATTATAAGGTAAAGGTAAAGGTTCCCTTGCTCGAAAGCCAGTCGAATCTGACTCTAGGGTTGCGGTGCTCATCTCCGTTTCAAAGCCAAAGAGCCAGCGCTGTCCGAAGACGTTTCCGTGGTCATGTGGCCGGCATGACTAAACACCAAGGCGCATGGAATGCTGCTACCTTCCCACCAAAGTGGTACCTATTTATCTACTTGCAATTTCTTGCTTTCGAACTGCTAGGTTGGCAGGAGTTGGAACTAGAGACGGGAGCTCACTCCATCATGCGGCACCCGGGTCTCGAACTGCTGAACTACCGACCTTCCACAGCCTGCAGTTCAACGTCTTAACCACTTGAGCCACCGCAGCTCCTACTTGATTATACTCTGTGACAAATTTAATAAAATATTAATAAGAAGAAACTGAGATGCAACCCCCTGCCCCCAGCAGCCCATTTTTGTCTGGCATTCTTACCTCTGTTTCATCAGCATCATACCCATCGTTCCCGTCAACGCTCCCAGTGCCTTCATTACTGTCTTCACCTTCGTCTCCCATCCCTGTGTCTTCATCATCTTCGTCCTCATCATCCTCTTCCTCGTCTTCATATTCCTACAAGGGGATATCATTTCAGAGGACACCGAAACCGACAAATTCTGACTTCGCCTAGCACCCTCTTCGACATTTTTGAGATTAGTCACTGGGTTGGATCCTGTCAATCGTTTGTGAATTGTTTATTGCCTTACACTGTGTAATCTGCATTGAGTCTCAGCAAGAATAAATAGATTAGTGCTAACAGAAAGGCAGGGGCAAATTTCACTGACTCGCTGCTCCTGCTGCAAGCGTCCAGCTCCCTCATCATGCTGTTTACGAGGTTCCCCAGGAGCAGCATTTGAGGGAGATCAGCTGGCTGCAGTCAACTGGGGTGAGGAGACGCAAGGAAGTTCCACTCTGCTAATGGAAGTTCCTGCTATTAGTGGGAAAGTTTAGCGGGATCCAACCCAAGCAGCAGTCAGAACTGGGGAGAAAATGTTCCCCCTGTTGAAACACTTGCTATTTGGGTTATCTTGACTTGGCTTGAACAAAGTTGGAGTCCAATGGCGCCTTTAAGACTTGGCTTGTTATTTTAAAGAAAGGCCTCACCTGACTAAAAAAAATCTAGAAAACACCTCACAAGACACTGAGCATAGCCACCTCTCCCCACTCTCTTTTCCTATATTTAAGTTAAATTCAAATCTTTTTAAAGGGTGGCGGCGGCAGCATTATGGGTACTGGCTCAATCACAGATGGTTCTGATGCAGCAACTGCACTCAGTCCACACAGCACTAGAGACCTCTTCCTGGCTCCCATGCAAGTAATCAGAATCAAGAACAGTAGCCTGCAATTGCGGAACAAGGTCTCATTGATTTGGTAACTATGCTGGCACAAGACACTATCTTCCATAACAGTTAATGAAAATAATTAACATTGACTTATAACATTAATTAAAAAAAACATTAAAAATTATTAACACACACAACTAGGGGTGTGCATTTTTTCCCCCTCAGTATTTTTGAGTTTGGGTCTCTTGGACTTGAAAAAAATTTCAAGATTCCTGAAAAAACCAGATCCCAATACCAGTAAAGTATTCAGATCTGGGTTGTTTTTTTTGGAAATCGCATTTTTTTTCAGGTCCAATAGACTCGAACTGAAAAATGTGGTGGTGGTGGGGAAACCCGGCGGCAAAGCTGCAAAAAAACAGCTGAGAGGCAGTTAAGCTGGGGCTCTTTTGGGCAGTCTTGGACTGCCCCAAAGAACCCACAAAGCAGCTGATCCCACAGGGAGATTCAGTGTTCCCCCAAATTTTCCAATGTTTCTGTTAGAAAAACTGAAAAAGCGCCTTGGGGAAAAAACTGTCCCCCCAACTCCCCCAGGATTTTCTAGTTTTTCTCCCAAGCCCTCATATCTCTAAACAAATAGCATTCTGCATGTGTCTGTAAACAAAAAGGCCTCAGTTTTGACTTACTATAGAGCCATTAACTTGTATAAATCATACAGTAATTTAGTGACTTGTACCCTACCATTTCACTGCAAAGTTTGACATCTTCCCCCAGCCTAAGAAAGTTTCCCCCCTCCTGCCACTGAAAAAGCCACTTAAATTGGAGGACAGCTTCAAATTTTGCTGAATGGAGTGGTAGAATGCGTTGGATGTTTCTTGGTGTTTAAAAAAAAACCAAGGAAACTTGTAGTGTACATACTTCGGGTTCTCCATCATTTTCCTCATCGTCATCCTCTTCATCATCACTGTCAATTACAATAACATCATCTCTCTTTCCCTGGCCGTCCTGGGATGATGATGTATTCTGCTGGTCCGACTGAAGAGACCCAAGGTCTACTGGGAGTGAGTGAGACGTCTCCTCGCTGTCTTCCATGGGAGCATACTCCCCCTGTGTAACACCCTTCAAAACGAGAGAAAAGATAAATAAATTAGTGGTATTTTTAAAGACCTAAAAAGGTCAGTCTGTGAGCATTCCTCGGCTTGCTGAGGTAACTGCAGACCTAAGGGTACTGTGCGAGGCATAGCTGTTAGCAGTCAGACCCCTCCTCTCCCAGAGGGGCAGTTTATAGCTTAGAGAGGCAGAAACACCCTTCTTAAAATATCACATCAAAAATCATAGTGCAAGACACTGCCTGGCCTAAAATGGAACAAAATGGATGCCAGCCAGGTATGAGCTTGGGAAAGTATTTTGGACGGTGAGTCAGAGTGGCTGACTGGTTAATGGACCTCTCCATGCTCTGGAGAGATGCATAATTTTAGGACAATGGGTCTCCCCAAACTTATTGACTCACCCTTGGCCTAATCTCATCAAGTCCAATCTTACTTCCTCTGCACCACTTACCCTAATTAAGTGACACTTAATCATCCCTCGCTATTCACCAAACCCATCAGCTTCCCATCCGGTATTTGCAGGGTCATCAAGGTCTTTCACGCCTTTTGCATAACTTGGGAAAACCCATCAATCCTCTCCTATCTTTTCTGTCCACCTCCAAAAAACCCAACAAGTTATTGTTTCTGGGGCATTACAACAGCTTGCCCGAGGGCCAATTTTGCCCTATATTTATGTAGTTATTTTATTCGATTTATATCCCGCCCTCCCCGCAGACGAGCTCAGGGCAGCTCACAATTAACGGCACCATGTGCCAAGATAAAACAATTATAAACAAGATAAAACAGTCCTACATTACACACACTTAAGTGCAATTAATACTATAAAGTGCTTGTAGTGATAATCAAGAACACCTAACCAGCCATGCAGAGTATGTATTCTTGGAGCCATACCCACACCCCCAATCTGTTGGGTGTTCTCTCCCTGAAACGCTGGCCATTTTGCTACTGCCTCTGCAGGCCTCTTCCCTCCGAGACTTGTAATCATAGCCCTTCCGTTTCCACCTGCCTTTCCTTAGCTAGCTGTGTGTGTTTATTGTTTGTGAAGTTTGATTTTTACTCTCTCTTTTAATAAAAAACCTTTCTAGTTGAACACGTGCCTGGCTTATTTTGAGAGTTCTCTTCAGGGAAAAATCCCCGTAAATATAAGCGGAGAATCCCAGTTACCCCTTTCTCCCTCCGTCTCCTTAAAGCTAATTCCCCCAACTAATTACGAGACCACCTCTTTGGTAACACAGCATGCAATTCTACCACAGTGATAAATAGGAAAGTGATATCCAGAAACCTGGTAGCACTCGAGTCTGGTTGTTCCACCAATGACTTATCCCCACCCCAATGTCCAAATATGTGCCAGGAAAGCAGATCATGGGCCAATGCAAAATAAATAAATAAAAATCTCCAAAAAAGAAAAAGAAGCTAGACCCATATGCAACCTCTCTTAACCATTAGGGTGAGGAGTTGCCAAGGAATGCACTGCAACCACTATTAGGTTTTTAACAGGCAGTTCCCTGCTGAGTTTACTTGCACAGAGATGCAGTGTACAAAACTGCTTCCCAATAGTTAGAAATGGGTTTGACAAATATGCATCAAGGCATGGGTTGGGATCCAGAAAGTACTGAACGGTCCTATACTCACGCTCTACAGGTCCTGCTGCTTAGAGCTGCCCCTTTGGAAGCTCCTGAAAGTGACCCTCCACAATAAAACAAGCTGCTGCTGCCAAAAGGGAAAACTGGCACATACATATCCCACGCAAGCGGATAGGAGGCTTTTTGGTTATTAGCCGTGTGACAAACATATTTGATGCAGAACTATTCTGCTGCTTACTTCTCCCATAGAATCCTGCGAGTCTTGATTGTAGACCTGGGTTTCTATTTCTCCATCTGTACTCTCGTCTGCAGTTACCTCCTCCTGAAATATTAATTCATCACAGATCACACAAAGTGAATTGTCATGAAGAAGAAGATGAGGATTAGGAGGAGATTGGATTTAAACCCCGCCCTTCACTACGCAAATGAGTCTCAGAGCGGCTTACAATCCCTTTTCCTTCCCCTCCCCACAAGAAGTGCTATCTAGCTCTCCTAACCACAAAGCTGTAAATATTTAATAATTTAATAATAAATTAATAACAGCCAATCTACTCCAGCCTGATCCCCTAAACTCATACCATATTTATCCCTTCAAATTTTATGTAACCATGGGATTAAAAAACTAAAGTGGTTTGGATTCACCCAGGTGTTTCCATGGATGGAAGGATTTCTGATTATGTAGTGTGACTTCCTTGCCTCCTCCCTTCCACAGCAGTCCAAATTGCTCCCCAAAATGCTGTTCATGTGAGAAAGTCACACTCCATAGTTAGAAGTCCTTTCATCCACTAAAACACTCCACTGGATCCAAGACGTCATATAAACTTCCCTTCCGCAGTGACTACATTCTCCTCAAGAAGTCCCTAATGGTATTAAGAGTTTTGGATTTTGAGGGTCATGCTTACTTTATTGCATGAGTACAACTGATTTTGGCACTTATACCACAGGCTGTATTCAACACATGGACATAGATTCTTTTGACTTGTAATTACTTGATCAATAATTGTCTGAATTGGATGTATGGAGTGCTTCCATTGAAAAGTGTGTCTGAGATTATGATAATGCGATGCGGCAATAGACTTGAAGCCCACCCACCCCACTTTATTGGCTTATCATTTATAAATCAGCTTCCTAGGACAACTGAATCTTCTTCAGACGAGATGCGGTGATGAACAAACACAACCAAATTAGCAGAATGATTTTTGTTCTTACAAACCTCCGGTCCAACTCTTTGTATAGTTCTCAGTTTCTTGGAATGAGGCACATCAACCATTTCCTCCGAAAGTTGTTCTGAGTTTTCAACTGTACTTTCATCTTCTTCTTCTCGCTGACGTTTGGGTAAAGAAGAACTTGGTGTAGCTGAAACTTAAGCAGTAGGGCTTTGTTATACTCCAAACACATTTCACAAAGTCTTAAGAAAGAGTCTTAAGGGAAATCAATTATAATGGCTATTTCGAGAACAACCTGATCCTACTGTTGGCCTTTGAGGCTCAGTGGTAAGGTACCTGGCTTTGCAGTTAAAAGGATCTGGTAGTTTAGTTTAGTTTTATTATTACAGTCTTAAGACCAACATACAGAGTAAGCATAATATGTGAAGGAGAGAAGATCTGGTAGCAGTTGATGTGAAAGACCTCTACCTGAAAAACCTTGGAGAGCCACTGCTAGTCAGAGGCTTGGATCCACTACAGAGCTTCTCACCAGTTCTCCTTCCTGCAGCAAACCTCCAAATCCTTACATGCTATTCATGGGGATTCCCTGTTCCCTGGGAGCAGTGTTCCAAGGCAGCATTTTGGACTGTGACAAGAAGGGGGAAATCACGCTCTACAGATCTCCAGGCTCCCTCTGCAGAAAACGTCCAGTGGATCCAAGCCAGAGCAGACAACAGAGACTTTGATAAGCCAATGAACGGGCTCAGAGTAAGGCAGCTTCACTTGTTTATATGACTGTAGCTACTGTATGCAGTTGCTATAAACCTGCGTAACAGTTTACACCCTGCTCCTCCTAAATCCAGAGGCTCAACTGGCTGCCACTTTTGTTGAAGGAAATTCAGTTAAACTAACCTGTGCCAAACACTGCTGTTGATGTAGAAGGTCTTTCCATCTGCGAGCTCTGTACAACCTCCAAAATGGTTGGGGCCGGCTCCTGAGCAGCCGGTTCTATCTGAGGATGGCTCTGCTGAGTGGGCTGCACAAAAGCCGTGGCTTGAGTCTGCTGCTGAACTGTGAGGATGGGCTGAGAGAGCGAGGTCTGGACATTGGGGCTTGTGGAACGCACAGACCCACTGGTGCTTCCAAAGACTGGGACGTGCTCAACTGGCCCTTCCGACTGCATAGCTGAAACATAAAATGGCCGCAGCCACTCGCTTTAGCTGCATCAGCATTGTAACAAACACGGAGCTGCCAAACTATAGCTGGTGAACAGTGCAACGGGCTATTCTTTTACAATCATGACTTCAAACTGCTAAAACCCAGTTGCTGAAGAACATCAACACAAATCGGGGGGGGGGGGAAGAGAGATAAGGAATTTCAACTTGCCCTTGCCTCCCTGTTTGCTTAGACTGCACAAAATTACTGCATGAGCCAGTTTGGTGCAGTGGTTAGGAGAGTGGACTCTAATTTGGGAGAACTGGGTTTGATTCCCCACTCCTCCACATGCAGCTGCTGGTGAGACCTTCGGTTCTTTCAGAGCTATCATGAGCAGTTCTCAAAAGAGCTCTCTCAGCCCCACCTATCTCACAGGGTGTCTGTTGAGTGGAGGGAAAGGAAAGGAGATTGTAAACTGTTCTGAGATTCCTTTGGGTAGTGAAGGGCAGGGTATAAATCCAATCTCTTCTTCTATTTCCTTGATTTCGCACTAGAACAGGTACCACAAATATTCCAGTCCAAAGGCATCTTACATTTTCATGGTATCCATTCCGAAATTCAGGTGTGGCAGCACAGTACAGCAAAGAGTTTCTACAGCTGGAGTGGCTGGTGTCAACTCTTTCCATTTTTAAGAAAACATATGGAGCCCAAGGAATTACAGAGCTGACTACTCGTTTCTAGATTTTTAGGAGATATGCCCTTACCTTCTTGAGTCTCCACCTGTGTGGTTGGCATGACGGTTGCTGTTGGGGTAGTTGTAGGGTTGGTGACTGTAGCAGGAGTAACCATGGGACGGATACTGGCTCTCGGGGTGGACTTATTCCCAGCTATGGCAGCAGCTGTCACTTTGCTTGGGGTGGACACAACAGGTGTCGGTTTGATATTGGCTGTCGGCGGATCCGAAGTACTAGCACTAGGAACAAACCGAAAATTGTTTGCACTTGCGAGGATGTCCTTTTAAGCACATCACAACTGCAGCAGAACTTCCTCAAAAGAGAGAACAGCAGAGGGATACGTGGGGCAGAGAGAGTCTCAGTGCACAGAACATAAATTGTATATGGATTTAGTTAGACCCACAAGCCCTCCCCTTTGTGCATGATCAAATCTAGAGAAGTTCCTGCATTTACACTTCATACCTCAACACTGTCACTGTGAAAGGATATGTGGAAGATAATTAATACAGCAGGAAGCGGTGTTCTGGGGGACAACGCATGACTTGTGTGTGCATGGGTTACAACCACAGCATCCTTTTTTAAAAAAAAATCTGAACATGAGATATCTTGCCGACATTTTATTTCACAGCTTCTAAAAGCAGATCATGACACATTTAAAAAAATGGGATCCAAAGATCTGGGAAGTTACAGACCCATCAGCCTAACATCTGGCCTAAGGAATGGTAGAAAGCACAATTAAAAGCAAGAATACTTTATAGAAGAACATGACTTGTTGAGGAAGACCCAACTTGGATTATGCAAAGCAAAGTATTCCTTGACCAGTCTTTTAGAATGAATGGATACCCTGCTCTTTATTTAAACACCGCAAATAGCAGCCTGGGGATCCCCAATTTGGTTTGCTGAAGTCAGGGGTGAAGAGTGAGGTGGTCACATCTGCGCATGGCACCTAATTATCCAGTACAGTGAAAGCCAAAGCAGAGGTCTGACCTGGGTAACAGAATGGCAAATAAGATACTGGGCCAAGCAGTGTTCTCTCTAAGCTGAGCTAGTGTGAGCTAGCTCACAGTTTTTGAGCCTCCAGCTCACACATTTTTGTCTCAGCTCAGGAAGGATGTGGTTCCAGAGCAAACTAATTTCTTCAGTAGTCAAATCGCTCGCTCACAACTTTAATTCCGGTAGCTCACAAAGTAGAATTTTTGCTCACGAGACTCCACAGCTTAGAGGGAACATTGGTGCTAAGTCTGAGCAACAAAATACACACTGCCCCCACCCCCCGAATTCCTAACTTCATATATACAGTGATCACTCCCATCTGCAAAAGAGCAACCCAAATGATCCAAAAGCTGGACCACCTTTTCTACAAGGTTAAAGCATTTGGCAGGTTTTCATTTAGATTAAAGGGCCGCAGGGCGGGGGAGGCAACACGAATATGGAGGCGATGGGAGATTTCTCAGTCTTTTATAATGTGAGGAACACCAGGTGAATATTACAAGGCAGCAGACTCAGAACAGGCAAAAAGTAGTATTTCAAGGAAAACAGCTCAAGACTTTTTCTACCAGGATATGGTAATGGGCAATCAACTTCACGGAAAACAGCTACCACTGTAAACAGAGCTTGGTGAATCTCCAAGCCCAGAGGCAGCGGTCCAATTGCTGATACTATCAGTGGAGGAGGACAGGTACGCTCTCAGACCTTGCTTATGAGGTTCCAGTCGGCATATGAATGGCCATTACTGGAAACAGGATTTTTACACCTTTGCATCAGAGGGCAGTCGTTTTGGTCTTCGCTAGAACAGCTAGCTTTGAATCCAGTAGCACCTTAGAGACCAACAAGAATGTTGAGACATGAGCTTTTGAGAGTCAAACTCAAAGCTGACTCTCTCTCATCCCTTCTGATCAAAAGAGTTTTGGTTCTCAAAAGCTCTTACCCCCAAAATCTTGTTGGTCTCTTAAGGTGCTACCGGGCTCAAATCCAGCTACTTTCATCAGCGTGCAACTTATGTCCCCGTGTACAAAAAATGTAAGAACTGCACACATAGTTTTTTTAATTATACAAACAATTATGTTAACTATTCATCAAAGTAAAGAGACTTGTAGAAAGTTTGTACATCCAGTAATGTGGGGCCTTTATGATGCATGGTGGGAATATGCAACCGATTCTTCCTACCATCTAGAATCTAGGCTCTCTAGTGCAAAGGATCTGAATTATCTTTTTACCTAAACGGCACTGATGGGCAATCTGTAACTGTAAAGCAAGTCTTTATGGTGGCTTTAGTCACATATCTTTACTCTGATCCATGCACCAGAAAAATCACAGCTTTATTTAAAGCATGTTCAGGACAGTACACTCACATAGGTTTGCACTGTATATGGAAGCAGCTCTTACAGTAAGGATAGGAAAGATCAAGAGAAATGTAGATAAAATTAAACAAGAACTCACATTCCTCGCTCACCAGCTGCAGGAGTTGATTTAAGGGTGATCTGCCTCTGCTGTTCTGAAGCCTGTTAGGAAAAGATGCTTCTGTAAGCCACAGGAATCAAAAAGTCTGATCTTACTATCACTAACCCCCCCCCCCTTCAGAAACTCCAGTTGGTACAGAATGCTGCAGCCCACTGCCTCCTCCTGCATCGCTGACACCAGGAGCGCTGCCAGTGTGCCTCTGCTGCTTGAGTGAAGATCACACCCTGAGGGCCAAGCGAATGGTCTGGTGTGCTGCTGTCAGCATGTGTGCTGGGGGGGGGGGTTGCCCACCTCTGAGATAGGGCAATACTTCAGGCATGTCTTAATGTCAGTTATGGCATGGGCTCATACAAATCACCATCAGTTGGTAAAAAGGGAATGGAATGGACATGCCACCTTAAACAATTCCTAACTGACTCAGAATGGCAGCTGTAACCCACCCCCACCCTACTCAATTGGACGCATCCAGTGGCAGGAGGCCAAAAAGATAAGAATTGAACAGCAACTGCAAATGAAACAGAATAGAAAAAACTTGACTTTGCAGATGGGGGATCTGAGACTCCTCTGAACTGAAAGTTCTGCAGATACCGGACCTTGTTGCTAGATTCTGGAGGATCATCTCGCTGTTCATGGTGCCTCTCTTGCTGTTCTCTGAGCTCCCTCTCTAGGCGGCAAATCCGACCCTCGTACTGCGATTTAAGCGCATTCATCCGCACTTCCAACTCTGTCTTCTGCTCTTCCAGCGCACCGCTCTTTTGTTTCCATTCATCGCTTTCTTTGGTTAGCTGCTCTTTTGCACCTAAAGAACAAAAAAACCCTCGGTTAGGAGCCTGCTTGCCAAACCACCACGAGGGACCTGGGAACTGGTTCTCCTCAGTCCACTGTCTGTACCTGATGAGGTGGGTGTTGATCAAAGCTGTCAGATTTTTAATATTCCACAGAACTCTGTAATAGACTAAAGATGGCCACTCTTCTGGAAGACAACAGCCAAGAATGCCACTCACCTGCCAGTTGTGCAATTCTCTGTTTGGCCGCCAGAAGCGTCTTCTTGGTTTTCTCCTCCTTCTCTGAAATCTGTTGCCTGAGCTGATCTTCCTGCGTTGTTCTCTCCTGCAGATCTTGATGAAGCCGGGAGACCTCTGACTGCAGCTGGGCTGCCTGGTCCTGAAGGTTTTTGACTTCAGTCTCCCTTTCTCCAAGTGTCTGCAGAAAGTGAGACATTGAAGGGCTAGGAGAAAGCTCTTCTCAAAAAGTGGTGGAGTCGTGAATTCACAGGAACAAAGGTTGCAGCTATATCCAACACAATCCATATATTTTAAGAGAACTGATTATTATTAAGTCAATTCAGTCGCTGATCAATACATTCAACTGAGGCAGTTTCTCTCTGTGGAGGTACTTATGGGCATTGCTTTCTGCAGTGATTTTTCACCACCTACATTCACAACCTGCTTATCACTCAAGCATTCAGGGGCTGCATATCCTATTTGATCAATGTGACAGTCCTTTGAGACAGGCAAAAATCAGAGCACATAACCTGTCCAAGCTTCAAAACTGAGCAGAGGTCTAAATTTGGGTCTCCACTGACAAGTCCAATGCCGTGCTTTGACTTGCTAGTAATTTAGTTATTCAGACTGTGGAATGGGTGTAGATGCAAGTGTGTGTTACAAGAGACTTCTCTTACCTTCTGCAGACTTTCAATCTGCCCCTCCATGGTTTTTATCTTCGCCTCTGCTTGACTGAGAGCCTCTTTCACCTCTTGAACTTCCTTGTCTGAAGGATGCTGCTCCTTCTGTTCTGCAAGAGACTGAACTGATGCTTCTGCAACCATCTGAAATTAAGGACAGGTAACATGAGAGTTCTGTGTTACAGAAATCTGCAAGTTTTATGACTGGTACCAACTCTGATGGACACTCCATGCCACGGCTTAAATGAAAACACACAAGATCAAAGGGTAGCAAAATCAAAAACCCACTGCTCTTTCTGTTGAGACATCCACTATCCCAGGCTAGAAACAGGAAGAAATTTAGGTAGTTTCATGGGGGGGGTGGGGCCTTTGCTCAAGTTGGCCTGCACTGTCAATCCACAATTCACCTTCAGTGAACTGGCTGAGAAGGGGGATATATTTGTGGAGACCAGGACCAATGTTCCCTCTAAGCTGTGGTGACTTGTGAGCAGAAATTCTACTTTGTGAGCTACTGGCATTAAAGCTGTGAGCAAGCAGTTTGGCCACAGTATAAATTAGTTTGCTCTGGAGCCCTCCTTCCTGAGCTAAGACAAAAAATGTGTGAGCTGGAGGCTAAAAAACTGTGAGCTAGCTCACACTAACTCACCTTAGAGGGAACATTGACCAGGACCGTGGCCTCTCAGTAAATAACCATACTAGAACTTCTTAAACCAGAGATTTAATAATATGCATCATTGCTAAACAGTGCTTTAACATATAAATATTTATAGGTATTGGCAAAAAAAACCCAAAAAGTAATCTTCTATGAATGGGGGCCAATTCTCACCCCTCCCACTGTTCCCCCCACTTCAATCCCCCCCTCCCTCCCTGCCAGCAGCATTCTCTTACTCTGATTTGCAGATAGGAATACAGGCCAGCATTAATATACACACTTGCTAGAGCAACCGTGCCTGCCAGCTTGACAACCAGAAGGTATCAGACAGGTCTGAGAGGAGGACTGCTTTATACTTCTTCCCCTGGCAGACATCAAAAGCTTATACCTTGTCATGCTGAGCTTTCAACTCTTCATACTGGGTCTTGTATCTACGCCCAATTTTCTTGACTTGCGTGATGGTTTTGACTTTCTCTTGGATGTCAGCCAACTTTGCTTCCAACTCCTTTTGAAGGGTATCCTTTTCAGCTTTTGCCTTTGTTAGATCATCACGGAGGGACTGGGCCTGATTCTGACCTGTCGTCACCGATGCATTTGACCTTAAATGGAAATTGAAAGTTTTACTGCATACCATTAAAAAAAGCCGCTGAAACAATAAATATAGGAACAATGTTAGTTACAGCCATGAGCAGTTTAAAATACCTTATAATGTTAGTTACAGCCATAATGTTAGTTACAGCCATAAGCAGTTTAAAATACCTTATAAACCATCATACAAACGTGAGCATTTTAAAGGGTTTTTCTGCAGCACACAGCCTGCAGTCCTCAGACTGGTTTCAGCTGCATCCCATGTGTCAAGAGAAAACCCACAGCTTTGGTAGCTACAGCAGAACTCCCAGTAAAAGGTAAAGGTTCCCCTGCTCGAAAGCCAGTCGAATCCGACTCTAGGGTTGCGGTGCTCATCTCCGTTTCAAAGCCGAAGAGCCAGCGCTGTCCGAAGACGTTTCCGTGGTCATGTGGCCGGCATGACTAAACACCAAGGTGCACGGAACGCTGTTACCTTCCCACTGAAGTGGTACCTATTTATCTACTTGCAATTTCTTGCTTTTGAACTGCTAGGTTGGCAGGAGCTGGAACTAGAGACGGGAGCTCACTCCGTCTTGCGGCACCCGGGTCTCGAACTGCTGAACTACTGACCTTCCACAGCCTGCAGTTCAGCGTCTTAACCACTTGAGCCACCGCAGTTCCTTAGAACTCCCAGAGAGGTACATAAAACATTTGAGAAACTCTGTACTACTTTTCTACTACTAGACCACTTAAACATCTATCCCAGTATCCTGACAGGCAGCAGCTTTCCAGAGTCTGGGCCTGAAGTCCTTCCCAGCCCTGTTACCCGAGATTGTTGAAACCGGGGGCACCAATGATAGAATCTGGGGCCTTATGTGCACATGCCGTTCATTCCATAACTGAGCTATGGGCGCTTCCTCTAAAAACTGAGCTATCCAGGTTGATAGTACATAGACTGCTTCTGATGTAATTCTGTTTGCCTTCAAACAAAGATGGAACAAATAGAAGGGCCACTGGTCCGTATGCTTTAGCACTGTCTATGCTTGAAAGCAGAGGCTTGCTAGAGTTTCATGTAAGGCCTTTCAGAGCCTACCTTTTTTGGGGGGGAAAAAAAGGAAAGGCTGATGACTGAAGCATGGACGGCTTCAAAAGGGAATTAGATAAGCATATGGAGCAGAGGTCCATCAGTGGCTATTAGCCACAAGATATAGATAGGGACTGTGGGGCAAGTGATGCTCTGTCTTCTTGGTGCTTGGGGGGGGGGGTCAATAGTGGGAGGGCTTCTAGTGTCCTGGCCCACTGGTGGACCTCCTGATGGCACCTGGTATTTCTGGCCACTGTGTGACACAGAGTGTTGGACTGGATGGGCCTTTGGCCTGATCCAACATTGGCGTCTCTTATGTTCTTAACACATAATGCTGCCATAAGACTGAGCCAGACCATTGGTCTATCAATGTCAATACTGACTACTCTGATAGGCAGTGGCTGTCTGGGGTCTCAGGCAGAGGTTTCTCAGATCACCTACTACCGGAACCCTTTAACTGGAATAGGAGGGTTTGAACCTGGAACCTTCTACCTACAAAGCAGATGTTCTCCCATTGCGACACTGCCCTACCCCTAAATTAGTCCAGGAGCTCAACTGCACAAGACATGTACTTTCCCACTGAGCTACAGACCACAGGGGGATTGAATCTAAACTCCAAGCGCAAAGAATGAATACGTCATGTCCTCATGTAAGCTTCCAAACAAGACCTTATGGAAGGACAAAAAGCATCACTTCTGCCATGGGGCAAAGCACTGCATTCAATATTTCCCAGATCGCAAGGTAACCTTTGTAACTTCCCCCCACCCAGCATTTTTAATGGAAAGATAGTATATACAAAACATTCCAAATAACTCCAACAATAAATCTTACCTAGCGATTTCTGCTTTCAGCCTGCCTATTTCTTCACTCATTTGCTGTATACGTTTACTGTTCACTTCCTTCTCTGAAACAAGCTTCCAATACTCTTCGACATCGGTATCTTTTTGTTGGGCCAGCAAATGCTGGGGGAACAATTAACAAGTAACCAAAGTTATGACCTTGGTGCTTAGAGGAAAAGGTGCATTCCAGACAACAAAGCCAAGCTGTGTCAGTGACTCTGGCACAATATAAAAAAAGGATTCAAGATGAGCACTAAAATAACACTATCAAGTTTGAGCGCCAAAATTGTGTTGTTGTTTTTTTTGCAAGAGGCAAATCCAGTGCTAAAGTGCACATGCAGCTTTAGGGAAACTGAATTCTGGGAGAGGATTCAAAGGGCTAGTCAGGACAAACACAATCCCTGGGATTTTTCTCCCATTTTATGCTTTGAAAACCAAGTTTCACCTTCCAAGTCACGAACTGCTTTTAAAACTCTGCTTGAAGAGCTGTTTACTGCGCTGCGGATATGCTACTGAAGGGCAAAACTGCAAGTGGTTTTTGGGCAAGGGGGTCCTTGTTCTCACCAAGAGAGAGAAAAAAGGAAGTATTACATACTTGCAAGCAGCATTAGCTGTGAGCGTTGATGCTTTGCAACTAACAACAGCTCTGTCGGTGTACCTGAGTTCGAGTCTTCCAGCGTCTGACATCTTCTTCCAACAGCTTCTTCTCAGCCTGGAGCATCCCGCTCTTCTCACTCAGCTCAGTGTTGGACTCTTGTAAAGGCAAGATATCAGCTTCCAGCTTACGCACCTGAACCAATGATCATTGAGAAGTTATTGCAGGTGACTGTTTCTAGCCTTTTAAACATATTTACATGCAAATTTCAAGACATGCACACACACTCTCTCTCTCTGTGAATGAAGCTCCTGGTTTCAAAATCTTTACAGATATCATAGTTTTCTAAGTTGACAGGAAAAGGCTTGTTTAATAGCGTGGCAGCAAAACCATCCTCTATCAAACACTGACCTGTTTTATCTGGTGAAAAATTGAGCATAACATCCATCTGTCACTCAGAAATGTCTCATTAATAGCCAAGATCTTAGGAGGAGGACAATTAGTCAACCATTATTTAAAATGTGAAGAAAGCATCAATTTTCTAAGGAAAATTGGACAGAAATGAAAATCACTAACTCATCACTGTATCCAAAGGCTGATTCAGATGCGTTGTTTTCAGTCCTCCACACCGTGGTATGAGAGCCTGAAAAAGGTGATGAAGCTCATTTGCTACTTTCCTGCCTTCCCAACACCTTACGTGATGGGAGTCCTACCACTTGTGTCTATTCAGAAGCCATAATTTGCTATTACATGCACAAGGGTGAATGATGGGTCGCAAATCACAATGTGCATAGTTCATATTCTACGATGGAACTGTTTCCTGAGAAAAAGAAAAGGAAGGAGACAACCCCTAGCATGTCAGGGAATGATGGAAAGAGGAGCACAGAAGCCTGAGGCTCAGACACGGGAACCGAGTCAAAGTGATACAATTTGCTTCCGGGGTGTGTGTGTGTGTGTGTGTGTGTCTGTGTGTGTTTGTTTTAAGGATTTTGAAAGCTGATCTACAGTTCTTACTGACTTTGGCTTGTGTTTGCTGTAGTTCCTGTTCCAGCCTCTCCTTCTCTTCCCTCAGCATCTTGTTGGTCTCTATCAAAACATTCATGGTCTCTGTCTTCTTCATCAGTTCTTCATGCTGAGCCACTGTTCTTGCTGTCACCTGAAAGTCACAAAAGCAACACTGATACCCAATGCTGTGTGGAAATATCTAGATCTGTTTTGAACTTAGGTGTGACCTCAGATGCCTGCTTTACGTGTTAATTCTGCCAGACAATAAAGTTCAGCGTTCAAATTAAGTCATATACAGAATGCATACAACACCCAAAAAAGGAAGACCCTCCAGTAAAGCGGCAGATGTCTAGTAAGATCCAGCTTTCGGGCTCTGCTATCAATCTGGTGTTGCTCAGTCTGTGGCCTTTAACATACTAGTAATTTTTAAAATGGCTACAAAATAATCTGCACTCTGCAATCAGGCACTGTCTTGCACCTGCAATTCCTCAGACACGAACCTTTGGATGTGAAGAATTGACAAACCATACATTCTTGGGATTACGGTACCCTCCTAGAAATGTAAAGGAGCAGACCAGTAAAGCCAGATTAGTAGCCAGAGGCAGCCTACTGCAAGACAGATCCTAAGAACCTACAGCTCACAACTTAAAGCAGTTCAACACATCGTCAATGACCTACAGGTTCTCCTAAAAATGGACATTTCTCTTCCAGGGGTCATGGGTGGCAGGCCTTTTCTGTCTTACAGACAACCCTCTAACAGCTTCTCACCAACAACGACGGACCACCCAACAGAGACAAACACAGGAACCAAACCCCTCAACAGACCTAGATGCCAACTTTGTTCCTCATATATACCCAGAAAATGCCATCATGGGTCCTAATCACATCAGCTATACCACTGTGCACTCAGCCACATTTCCATCAACCAATTTAATAGATGCCATTATGTGCCAACAATACCCCACAAGGATGACATAGAAAGATGCCACATTCAGAAACCAGTAGGGGAACCTGAGGATCAATGCTCCCTCTAAGCTGTGGAGTCTTTTGAGCAAAAATCCTACTTTGTGAGCTACTGGCATTAAAGTTGTGAGCAAGCGATTTGGCTACTGCATAAATTAGTTTGCTCTGGAGCCATCCTTCCTGACCTAACCAGGGCTCTTTTTGTAGCAGGAACTCCTTTGCATATTAGGCGACACACCCCTAATGTAGCCAATCCTCCAAGAGCTTACAGTAGCACCTGTAAGAAGAGCTCTGTAAACTCTTGGAGGATTGGCTACATTAGGGGTGTGTCGCCTAATATGCAAAGGAGTTCCTGTTTCAAAAAGAGCCCTGCAGACAAAAATCCGTGAGCTGGAGGCTAAAAAACTGTGAGCTAGCTCACACTAACTCAGCTTAGAGGGAACACTGCTCACAAAAGCTCTTGCTGGAATAAATTTTGTTAAAGTGCCATTAGCCTTCTGTTTCATTTTGCGACAACAAACTAATACGTCTACCCCTCATGAATTATTTCCTTCAGGAAACCCAGTCAACGTTGATAGAATTTCTTCATGTCGACTATGGAACCTCTGCAAACTGCAGAAGATTCTGGGGCATCTGTGATCTAGGATGCAGTGCCGCTTCACATGAAGCACAAGCCAACTCTACTGAGCTTTTATTGTCATCCCAGGTAAATGAGGGCGTGTTCCAGGAGACACCCAAACACTACGTTGCGGCTGTGACTTGCAGGGAAAACTGCAAGTTGTGAGCAAAGTATCTTGCATGAAAGCTATCCCAAAAATACTGATAAGCTTACCAAGGACCTCCAGGATTTCCTGGAATACAGCACAAAAGCCACTAACTTAATCTGAGCCATGTTCTTGATTTGGGTTTCCTCAGTTATCCTGCACAGGCACATGTGATACTTCTGAATGGAAGCCAACAGTGCCACTCAGGTACTACCAATGAGATTAACATTACCTCATCGGTGTCTACATGTGATCGATTTTTATAACATGACTCTCAAACCCAGCACAAAAGGAAAATATTACAGTTAATGCCCAACAAGACAGAGGTCCATCGGTGGCTATTAGCCACAAGGTATAGATAGGGACTCTGGGGCAAGTGATGCTCTGTCTTCTTGGTGCTTGGGGGGGTCAACAGTGGGAGGGCTTCTAATGTCCTGGCTCCACTGGTGGACCTCCTGATGGCACCTGGTATTTTTGGCCACTGTGTGACAGAGTATTGGACTGGATGGGCCTTTGGCCTGATCCAACATTGGCGTCTCTTATGTTCTTAACCTGTGCGCATACCTGCACTTTCTCTCTCTCTGCATTCAGACTCTCCTGAAGTTCCTGAAGCTCCCTCTCCAGATGTTCTACCCTCTGACGGTAGCGTAAACTTTCCACTTGGGCTACCTCAAACCTAGTTTCTGCAATCTCCTTTTCTCGGCGTATAAACCTGAAACAGAAAGAGGACCCACTGGAGATTAAACACTTTAAAATTTTTGCTACTTCAGAAGTAAAAGGAAAGCCAGAAGATATAGAATCACACTGGATCTGGTAACACAGAGCTGCTTATGGGCTTTGGTAACTCTTGAGGCAATGTGTATTGCAGCTGCATGCAAATTGAAGAACCCACCATCAACAAAGGACTGCAATAGAATAATCTGGACTGCGGAGCTGTTAACTAAATTTATTTCTGATTTTAAAAAGTATAAGGGGAAGCCAATCAAACAGACTTGTAAAGAACTAGATATTGTTTGTGGAGTACTGGAACTTGAAATTCTTCCGTTCTGTACAGCCTTATGGGTCATTTCCTTTGCTATAAAAATAATGCAAAGAAAACATGACACGCCTGTCATAGAACCAAAGGCAGATTACCATGTTGATGACAATGTAATTATTATTAGTTAATACTTTAAATTTATGAATCACCCAACCCCGGCATACACAAGGCTCTGTATGATGTACGACAATTAAAACAATGTTAAAATTCATAAACTCTATAAATCAATCACATAATCTCAGATGGCGTCAATAATTTGCTTTGTAAATCTCAGTAATGCTAAATACAAATTATTGCTATATAACTAAAACTTGTTATTTTGTACAGTTAGAGAAATGTGGTTTCTTGCAATACCCTTGCTTTGTATCTGGACTTCCCTGTTGGATCTATTTCTTGTTTGTATAAAATTCTCAATAAAATTTATTGATTTAAAAATAATAATAATAATAATTTGCTTCGTGCCCACTCTGGACTGTGGGCAGGGTGAGGAGGGGGCTGAAGAAGAGGGTGCCAGCCATGATGCAACCGTTGCCATCCTCAGCTGAAAGCCTGGCAGAACATTTCTGCCTTACAGGCCCTGTGCAGCTGCATTAAGTCCCGCATGGTCCTGGTGGTAAATGGCAGAGTTCCACCAGGTTGGAATGTACCGAATGCAAGCTACTCTCTGAGCCCTGCTGGTGGGGCGGACTGGAATATTCTAAAAAAAAAAAAATACCGACAAGGACAGAAACAAGCAGGCATTGTATACTCAGGAACATGAAGTGGGACATGGGATTGTATTGCTAATCCTGGTTAAGATTTTACCAAGTTTCTGATTTTTAGGGAGAGTTTCACTTTTTTTAAAAAATGCAGCCACTGAGATCTTCAGTGTGAATCAGGAGCTTGCTTTTTAGCCTTTTCCTGATAGTTCCCTACTGGAAATTACCCTCGCACCAAGCTGCTTTTTACCCCCACCAGAGAAAAAATGACAGGTGCCTTTTCCAAGGAACAGTAAAACAGCTTAATGAGGGCTGTTTTCAGAGAGGAAATGGGCCCAGGGAAAGGATCCAAGAATGCCTTCTTTTACCCCTGACAGCTTACTCCAAGGGCTGTATTTCACAAAAAGTAAGAGCATCCCCTCCACATAACCAGAGAGCTATACTTCCAACTTGAACTGGAGTGTAAGAGCACCCTCAAATGCTCACCTATGGAAGAAAGCGATGGAAAAAGAGGTGGTCTTCTTTTCCTCAAAGGAGAACACCCAGTCTCTAAAACAGTTCTGACATTACATCTGCACTAGCCTTGGGGTGTTCCCATTTCATCACTAATCCTTCCTCTGGGGATAGAAAGTGTTTGGCAACAGCTCTTCCCAAGAGAAACAAAATAGCTGCAATCCCCCCTTTGCGATGCCTTTGAGACAGGGCACTGTATCATGCCATGAAAAGCAACTGACTTCCCAACACCTTACGAGGACATCCAGCTGTCTTCGCCCAGGTAGAACTCTCTGCCAAACAACATCAGGGCCCTGTAGGACTTAATGCAATTCCACAGGGCCTTTTGGTTGAGGGCAGTGATGGGCTTTTCCGCAGGGCCTTTTGGTTGAGGGCAGTGATGGGCTTTTCCGCAGGGCCTTTTGGTTGAGGGCAGTGATGGGCTTTTCCGCAGGGCCTTTTGGTTGAGGGCAGTGATGGGCTTTTCCGCAGGGCCTTTTGGTTGAGGGCAGTGATGGGCTTTTCCGCAGGGCCTTTTGGTTGAGGGCAGCGACAGGCAATAACATGGCTGGCACCCTCCTCTTTCCCCCTTTCTACCCCCCCCCCCCCCCCCCCCCCCATCGCCCCAG